AATGAGTCATGGCCCTTGGTCTGCCCCTACCCGCCATGTACAAAGGAAATGAAGGGAAGATAGAAAATAGGAGGGGAGGAAAAGGGAGAAGAAAGCAGGAACAGGGCCCAACTATGCTCCTTTGCTCCTTCTTCTTTTCCCCCTACCCACTGATACCCCTGACTTACACTACAGTACTAGGGCCAGACCCTAGATGACCTTGAGCCTCAGTTGCTCTGCCCTCTGCTTTCTCCAGAAAAAGCAATGCAGGGAAATACAGTGGGTCTAGGAGCAAAAAGACCTAGGCCCACACAGGAAATCATGTCACTTCACAACCCGTTGGTTGAGCCATCTTGGAGCACAGGTGAGCACATTGAAATCTAGAGAGGAACAGGTCACACCAGCAGCCAGCAATAGACAGGACCAAACGCCTGCAGACTGCTTAACTAGCTTCCATCTAAAGAGGAGAAAACAAGACCAGCCCGGGGCACCATTTGGAAACTATAAAACTCAGTACATAGGTAGTGAGGGAATCATCTTTTTCAGTGGCTTGAGAGTCTAGGGTGGTGAAAGGAAGGAGCGAGGTGGGGGGCAGAAGCACTTATGACTTTCCTAGGACTCATCCCACTCATTATATCAGCCCTTCCCGAGAGGCCAGGCCACAGAGTGGAGGAGGAGGGTATTAAATATCAGGGAGTTATTTAAAAGCCGCCTGCCTGCCCCTCCTGAGCCAAGTGTGGCCTCTGCTGACTCAACAGAGAAAATGAATCTTGGGCTTATGGATTTTCCTGTGTCTCCAGGCAGTAGGGGAAGAGGGCGGCCAGAGTGAGAAACGGAACAGAGGCCCACGGAGTTTTCCCTTACTGGCCGGGTAGTCCAGGAGCATATGAAGAGTAGATTTGGGCCATCCTCACTGCCTAATAATTGATCTTCATAGTGTCAGGTCTACCCTTCTATTTTCCTCAGAGGAAAGGGGACAGAGAGAAAGGGAGGACAGCAGGAAGGCCGGCAGGATAAAGGGAACTCATTATAGGACACTACCACATCATACCTGAAAGGATTCCCTCCCTCACCACCACGACTCCCCAACACACACATATTTCATAATCATTATCATTTTTGAGTTAAGCAAACGAAGCTTAGGATACAGTCAAGTTCAAGGTCACACACAAAGAATGGAGGGGTACCAATTTAGGCAAGTCACAGCATTACCTTCCCCTGCCCAACCTCCATCCTCACAAAGCTAAAGAGCCTAGGATCCAAAGACCCTCTGTCCATATCTACTTGTCTCTGTCAAGGAAACTAAGGCCTGGAAAGGGAGACACTTGCCCAGGGACTTTAGTGACCTTGAGACATCTCTGATGGGCAAGGGGCTACCTGTTAGGTGACCTCAAGAAAGCCACCAGAGGGCTGAGAAGGTGGCTCAGTGGTAGAATGCTTGCCTTGCATGCCTGAGGCCCTGGGTTCGATTCCTCAGCACCACATAAGCAAAAAAGAAAAAGCCCGGAAGTGGTGCTGTGGCTCAAGTGGTAGAGCGCTAGCCTTGAGCTGAAGAGCTGAGGGACAGCGCCCAGGCCCAGAGTTTAGGCCCCACGACCGGACCCAAAAAAAAAAAGAAAGCTATCAGACCTCTCCGTACTCCCTACCAAGCCTTACAAAAAGCAGGATCCTTGAGAAAAGAAAAGGGACCCAAAAGAAGGAGGCTGATAATCAAGGAGAAGACAACACTTTAAAGACCAAGAGAAGTCCTGTGATCTAGTAGGGTTAGAAACTCAGTCTCTGACAAGAGGAGTTCTCATTTGGCCACAAAGGCTACTGGCAATTCTGCTTAAATGGAATGACTTCCTCCTCCACCCCCATCCTAAGGAAAGCCAGAGCCTGAGCTCTTTGCCCACAGGTTGCCAGTCACACTCCTAGGAGAGAGGGAGCCTTGGAGAGGGAGTTGCTGTGGCAAAGGAGATAGCAGGGAAACCTGAGCTCCTATCAGGCCCTGGTCCCAGACAGCTGTGTAACCTTGGGGGAAGCACTTAACCTTTCTGAGCAACCGTCTTGTGGTGTAAAGTATACACACGGGATCCTCACTGAGTTGGCCTCACGGGGACCAGGCAGAGATTTTAAGTCATTTCATTCAGCAAAAGTCCCATGGCGCCTTTTATGCTGCCTTGATAACACAAGAAATCAGACCAGGCTCAAGCCCAGTTACTGACAGTTAAGGGGCTCCGGATAACCCTAGCCCTGATCACTAAATGAGATTCCAAAAAGGGAAAAGGAATCCACGAGGGCTTCCTAAAAGGGATGAAATTCATGGAGAGTCCTGAGGAACAGTGGTAGAATTGGAGAGGCCCAGGGCCAATAATCTAAGCAAAGATTCTTCCATTGAATGCATGAGAAAATAAACACAACCTCAGTCTCAAAGTTGGATAGACATTTATTGAGTACCCACTGCATACTTCACACTATATTCTTCCAGAGAATAGCGCAGTTTTCCCATTTGTACAACATGGAACATCTGCCCTGTTCCCTGATGATTCTATGTTCTGAGTTCCTTTCCCTGGACACTGAGGAGCATCCTGCAACCCCCACCCCACCCCAGTCAAGGCTACCCTGCTATCCTGCAGTCCCCTTCCCAAGCCAGTCAGAAGCCAGCCACCCAAGGGATCTGGGGAAGGAACTTTGGCCTTGGCAATGATCTACAGTTCCTGGGGGACTATAGACAGAAGAGTCTCCATGCAGCAGGACAAAGAAGACAAACTATTCTGGTTATTATAATGAAGGAGATCCAGGATCCCCACCACCACCAAACTATCAGAGCAGGAGCTCGTAGCTGATGTGGGCCAGCATGGAAGGGAGTACAACAGATGAAGGTCTAGCTCTGAGGGTAGCTACTTACATTTTTATGCCTGTGTGAGAAAAGGTATCACCAGCCTTTGACCTCTGCAATCCAAAAGCACAGTTCAGGACTAAAGTGGTCTCCTAGCATTGATCAATCTCTAGCCTGCAGACATGGGTCTGTAAACAACCCTGAGAACACTCCAAGAACCTGCATGATGCAGCTGTGTGCATATTTAAGCACATGTTTGCTTGTGAACCTATAGGCCCACGTTCAGATCCATGTTCCTTGTACACAGGTGCAAATGAATCCACATGTATGTGAGCTGAGCCTGCCTGGAATCATGCACAAGTCAGGCAGGCCTTTCATGCATGTGTGCATGTCTAAGTAAGCCTGACTCTGTGTTTTCCTATGTGTACACACCTAGGTGTGCTTATAGGTCAAGCCTGCCTTTACATGTAAAATACATGCATGTAAACCACCTCGTGTGCATCTGTGCAGACACATATATGTGCATATTACTGCTGTCATCTGCCAGTACTGGGGAAGCTATGGCAGGGCTAGGGAAGAGAAAACTGGGATTGGAGGGTGGAGGTACCCACTAAAACTGGTGTTTTGGTCCTTCTTATTGGTTCCTGCCTGAGACCCAGGCCACTGCAGGGTCTGCTTCTTCCTTTTAAGTGGTTTTGATCCTATCTGTTGGTCGATCTGTTAAATATAACCTCAGGGAAGAAATCAGTCCCCCAAATCCTCCTGAATTTCATGTGAAAGAGACTAATTCTTAAGAGGGTGGGGAAGGGGGGAGTCTATATCCCAACCAGCTCGGCAGATACTCCAATAGCCTGCGGATCAAATGTCAGCTTCTTCAGCCTGAATAATTTATGCCAAGGCCAGGAATGCTCCTTTCTCAGAAGCCTGTCTCTTTAAATCAGACCTGGAGCTTCCCAGTTCTGCAAATAAATAAATAACATATCTGGTGCAAAACAAATCTATAAAGAGATCAGCCCCCACCTCAGCCCTGGCCCCTCAAACACCTGCTTTGCATATGCAAAAGCAGCTTCTGTCTCCCCTGCCTCTGAAGCCCCCTCCTGCCCCTCAACCCCATTCACCACTGACAGGTGGGGAATCCTAGAGGGGAGGAGGCAGGCTTGGCAGTGTCCTGGGAGTGCCCAAGTGCTGGGGTGAAGAGGGACAGCAAATTGCTGAATCATTCCATTCATCTGTCCCTGTGCCTAGGAGAGTGCTTGGTTGGGGGAGGGGGCGGACAGCAGGGGGCTAAGCACTAGCAGAGACATAGTGGGGGGGGCAAGGAGCGCGTGGAGGGGGGAAGTGGCTGCTTCACACTTCCCCAGGGCATGAGACAGGGTCAAGGGAAGGGTGGTCGCATAAGACCAGCGGGATGATGGCACAGCTTTGTCTAATGGAATTGGGGTCGTACAGGAAGCTGCAAAGGCTGGGGATTTTCCAGTCTCTCCCTCTATCACAGCCCTTTTGTCTGATCAGAGTTGAGCAAGAGGCTGGAAAAACGAGTTAACTTTCTCAGCCCACCCCTCAGCCTTGCCTCTCTAGTAGGGGCAGCTCTACGATCCTCCCCCCAAGTGCGTCTCTGTAAAGACGCACCTGCCAGCTCGCCGTGGCAGGCCCCGCCCGCACGTGCCAGCAGGGAGGAGGAAAGAAGCGGCTTAAAAGTGGGGGACAGGAGGTGGGGGGGGGAAGCAAGTCAGAGCCCCCAGAGCCAAACTTCTCAGCATCCCCGGGACTGCCTAACGGGGAAGGAGCGCGCAGCAGCCGAATCCCGGATTCCCGGGAGCCTCCTACCCCGCCTCCCCAGGCGAGGAGGGCGCGGAGACTCCGCTGGGGGGCGGAGGAGGAGGCCGGGAGGCGGGGAGGGGGAGGCAAACCCTGCCCACTCGGCTCGGAGCCCAGAGCAGCCGCGGAAGTCAGAGACCGGCGCGCAGGGCAAGGAGGGCACCGAGGGCGGGGGGCTCTGCTCCCCGCCTGACCCTTGTCGCCCCCCCAAACCAGGACAAGTGAAGACTCCTCGGGACTTTAGAGCTCGCGGAGAGAGACGGACAGAGATTGCCTGCCGCTTCGGGTCAAGGACTTGCCCCACCCGTCCCCCCCCTCCCAGGCGCTCCCAACTCACTGGTGAGCGCGGCGTCCCAGGGCGCTGGATGCGGGGACGGCCGCGATGGCCCCGCGCGTGGGACAGCCGGGGCTTTGGGGGCCGCTGCTGCCGGGGCTGCTGCTGGTGGCGGCGGCACTGAGCCGGCCCGCCTCGCCCTGCCCCTTCCAGTGCTATTGCTTCGGCAGCCCCAAGCTGCTTTTGCGCTGCGCGTCGGGCGCAGAGCTTCGGCAGCCACCACGGGACGTGCCGCCCGACGCGCGCAACCTCACCATCGTGGGCGCCAATCTGACGGTGCTGCGCGCGGCCGCCTTCGCCGGCGGAGACGCGGACGGGGAGGAGGCGGCGGCCGCCGCGGTGCGCCTGCCGCTCCTGACCGCGCTGCGCCTCACGCACAACAACATCGAAGTCGTGGAGGACGGCGCCTTCGACGGGCTGCCCAGCCTGGCGGCGCTGGATCTCAGCCACAACCCGTTGCGCGCTCTGGGAGGCGGCGCCTTCCGCGGGCTACCCGAGCTGCGCTCGCTGCAGCTCAACCACGCGCTGGTGCGGGGCGGCCCCGCACTGCTGGACGCCCTGGACGCCGCGCTCGCTCCGCTGGCCGAGCTGCAACTGCTGGGCCTGGCGGGCAACGCGCTGAGCCGCCTGCCGCCCGCCGCGCTGCGCCTGCCGCGCCTCGAACAGCTGGATGCGCATCTCAACTCACTGGTCGGTCTGGACCCCGACGAGCTGCGCGCGCTCGAACGCGATGGCGACCGGCCCGGCCCGCGCCTGCTGCTTGCGGACAACCCGCTGCGCTGCGGGTGTGCCGTGCGCCCCCTTTTGGCCTGGCTGCGCAACGCCACGGAGCGCGTACCCGACGCGCGCCGCCTGCGCTGCGCCGCTCCGCGGGCGCTGCTCGACCGGCCTCTGTTGGGCCTGGACGAGACGCGCCTGCGGTGCGCCGACGGCGACCCCAATGGGCGCAGGGACGAGGTGGATGTCCCAGGTCCGGAGCTGGAAGCCTCCTACGTGTTCTTCGGGCTGGTGTTGGCACTCATCGGCCTCATCTTCCTTATGGTGCTCTACCTAAACCGCCGGGGTATCCAGCGCTGGATGCGCAACCTGCGCGAGGCCTGCCGGGACCAGATGGAGGGCTACCACTACCGCTACGAGCAGGACGCCGACCCGCGCCGCGCGCCGGCCCCGGCCGCCCCGGCTAGCTCCCGGGCCACTTCCCCCGGCTCGGGCCTCTGAGCTTCGCCTCCTCGGGGTGGAGGGGGAATGTCCCTGCCTAGCCTGGAGAGGTGGAAATGAGACACCCACCAGTTTCGAGTACTAGGACCTTTGGATTATGGCATCGCTCCCTCACGGAGGTCCCAAGAGCTCCTATCAAAAAGCTAGAGACGTCCTGTCAGATTCCAGAAACTGCCCTCACTCACCTCAGGCTCTGATTCATCCCTCCCGGATCACCCGCCATCTTTTCAGACTCACCCATAAGACTCAGTCCTTGGATCCCAACTCTCTGAGGCTGCCTCCACCACTCTGTGCTTTGAACCCAACACCCTAGACTGTACTGATCCCCAATTTTCAGCTGGGAGCCCTCATATCCCATTCTAGTTGCAGAAGCAGAGCACCCCCATCAGAAGGCTTTTGGTCCTGTCCCACATCTCTGATCCCTCCATCTTGCATGGAGACCCACATCCTGGGCCCCTGCTGGTTGGGTGTCCTCCCCCCACCCCGCACGCCAACGCGTGTGAGTGCATTTCATACCCTAGCCCCGGCTCAGGTCTCACCCTTCCTTGACCCAGGCTTGGAGCACAGGTCCTGGTCTCCCATTCCAGGGACAAGTACACCCCCAAAGGCGTCTTCATGTGCATGCCGGTTAGTCTCAGCTTTTCCCATGGGGCTCGATCCCCCAGCACAGTGCTTGATCCCAATCTCAAGCCTCAGCTCTTCACCCTCGGCTGAGTTTCCTAGGTTTTGTTTCCAGGACGCCCCAGGCTTGCACGTGTAACAACCCTGCCACTCACTGGCCAGTCCAGTAAGGAACCTATCCCTGAGGCATGCCACCCTCTATGCTTCAAGGATGATCTCTGCAGTCCTGCAGGACACGGGCGAGTGCCAAGCCCTTAGGTGTGGCAAAGAGACAGTGGGACTTCCGAACCAAGGTGGTTGACCTCAGAGTGGGGAGGGGCTGGGACTTGCTACCCACCAGGTTGCCCATGTACTTGCCCACCCAGGGTGGCTTCTCTCCTAGAAAGTCTTGCCACCTCTTCCCACCCCCCCCATTCCCACCTCCATTCATAAGCCTTCCAGAAGAAGTTGCAGGGGGTGAGGAGGGGTCTCATCTCCTGTGTAAGGCACAAGCCTTCCTGTTCAGGGCCAGAGTCTCAGCGCCCTGCCTTCTGCATGATCCCAAAGCACAATTGGTGAGTGGAGAGGGGCCCTCTCCCCACCTCCCACCCCTAGGTCAGGCAGAACGGCTGGCCTGTGCTCTCTCTACACAGGACATCTCCCTCCTTTAATATACTGGCTTGAGGCCTGCCTGCCCATCTTCACCCTGAGAAACCTGGACCTCCCTTGGGCAGTTTTCTATAAAGTCTGCAATAATCTCGGATATTCTGCTCTTGTAAGTGGTGCCGTGTCATTTCTGCTGACTTGGGGCATTGATGTGTGAGAGGTGACATGGGAGGGTGTTTTGGGTCTCCCCGAGATGAAGCAGTGACACTTATGTGTTCTGGTGCTGGGGAGAGAAATGGGCTGTGGTTGCGAGTAGCAGGATTGAGGCTAGTGTGGATCTTACTACATTCCTTCCCTTTCTCCTATGCTAAGGATGAGGAATAGAAGGGAAATGGTGTGGAGGACATATTGGACCCTCTCCGAACTGTGGAGAACCCATCTCAGGATAAAAAGCAGATCGGTTTGGAGAGCAATGTCTTGGATGTGTCTGGGGAGAGGAAGACTAGCTAAAGAATGAGGCAGTTTGTTGGGACAGACAGGAAAAGGGATTATTTGTTGCTCTGGAATCATCCAATCGATGGGGTGATTTCCTGATCTCTCTGGTGTCAGCTGCGTTCTCCTGGCTGGAAAGGCAGGACCATATCAAGTGTGTGAAAGAGGCTAAGAAGCAGCAGCCTAGAGGTAGGAGTGGGGCAAAATGACCCCTTGAGCTATGTGCAGCCAGGGGCCAGGTGGGCCTCAGTGTTCCTAGACTGGAATATTTTGCATTCAAGATCAAAGAGCTCTAGAATCATGGGGTGGAAATAGAGGATTCTGGCATCTTAGAAGCTTAGGATCATGTGACTCTAGAATATATGCTTTTCAAACGTTGAAAAGGACCTCAAGAGTACCATGGGAAGCCTCCTCAGCTGTCCTTACAGAGATGAAACCAGTTCAGGAGTCTCCTTATGTCTTTCCAGAAAATTCCCCACTGAGAAGGGATTAAATCCTCTAGAATGGTCTTACAGAGGGACCCTGACAATCCTGCAGAATAGTGACAGTCTAACATAGGTTAGAGAACTGTGTCTCTTAACACATCACCTCGGTACCTTGTTTGCCCTCCGATAATGTCGCTTAAAACCAAAGTAAATCCTAGCGCAGAAATGATGCTATTAGCTATGCGTTTGTTGTCAGCAAAGTCTGAGGCTTTAATATGAAAGATACTGTACCAAGAACTTAAATTTAATTGAACTTCTATAAGGTATTAGCAGTTACTAAAAAGCACCCAAGTGCCTATTCTGTGCAAGTTGGTATTTAACCTTAGTGCCATTCACAAATGGCTGTTGAAAGTCATCTGTGGTCTTTTACTCTTGTTGCAATCTGTCAGGGTCCCAGGGTCTCCAGTTTTGCCTCCTCTGCAAGTCTAACCATTCATTCAGGCTGTGTTGAATGTAACCCTGCTAGTCTTCTCTGCTAATCCAGAGAAAGCATCACATTTAATTGGGGTCTTTAGGGAAAGAAATTCCAGGAAACTATGAGAATTCAGAGTAAACTGACCAGCCTAAGGCAGCTACTTAGAGGAAGTCACATTCCAGTGATTTTGTTTGGTTTGGTTTGTTGTGCGAGGATCAAGTCCTCTACCACTGAGTAACATCCAGGCTGGCCTGGAACTTAGGATCCTCTGGCCTCAGACTCTTGAGTGCTAAGATTGCACCACCCTGGCTCCCTGGCTCCCTCCCCAGTTATTACAGAGCCTCTCTCAGAAGCTGCTAGAGAACTGGGCAGAGACACAGGAGGCCTGGGGCTGTAGGAGTCATGTGGGGGCTGGGGGGAGAAGGGGAAAAAACTACCTCTGGGCTGTCCCCATCAAGAGCAGGTAGGGTAAAGAGAAAGAGAGGGAGCAAGAAAGTGCAGGTGTGATTGTCAGAAATGTGTTAGACATGAAACTGTTGTGTACTTGGAAAGATCTGGCAGACGTCCCAGGGTTCTAAGACCTGTTAAGCAGCATGAAATTGCTTTTCAAAAACATCTCCCAGCTGGGTCCTGGTGGCTCACACCTGTAATCCTAGCTATTCAGGAGGCTGAGATCTAAGGATCAAGGTTCAAAGCCATCTCAGGCAGGAAAAGTCCATGAGACTCATCTCTACCCAGAAAAAGCCACCCAGAAAAAGCCAAAAGTTGGGGCTGGGAAGGTAGCTCATTGGTAGAGTGCTTGCCTTGCATGCATGAGGCCCTGAGTTTGATTCCTCAGCACCACATAAGCAGAAAAAGCTGGAAGTGGTGGTGTGGCTCAAGTGGTAGAGCACTAGCCTTGAGCTGAAGAGCTGAGGGACAGCGCCCAGGACTTGAGTTCAGGCCCCACAACCTACAAAAAAAAAGCCAGAAGTAGAGCTGTGGCTCAAGTGGTAGAGCATTAGCTTTGAGCACAAAAGTTCAAGGACAGGGCTAGGAGGTGGCTCAGTGGGAGAGTACTTGCCTCACGTGCGTAAGGCCCTGGGTTTGATTCCTCAGCAACACATAAGCAGAAAAGGCCAGAAGTGGAGCTATGGTTCTAGTGGTAGAGAGCTCACCTTGAGCTGAAGAGCTCAGGGACAGCTCCCAGGCCTAGAGTTCAGGCTCCATGACTGGAAATAAATAAATAAATAAAGTTCAAGGACAGCATCCAGGCCCTAAGTTCAAGCCCCAGAATTAGCACTCGTGCGCATGCGCACGCACGCACACACACACACACACACACACACACACACACACACAAAGCTATCTCTCAGAGAGTCTAGCCTTGCTTCCACATCCCTTACCTGCCCATTCCCCCAAACCTGGAGAGGAAGAGCCTTGCTAGAGTCTGGAGGCTGGGTTTGAGTTTAGAATCAAGTGATTTGCCATGCCCCTTAGCCCTTGGTCCAGAAACACCAGGTGAAACCCTACTGTGAGCTAGGTGCTGCAGAACACAGCAGAACTGACTCCTGCATTTCTGGCCCACCCAATGTTGTACCCTTGGACACCCTTGTTCCTCTTTAGCTCTAAAGTGCCATCTCTCCAGGCTGAGCTGGACTTGTGATGCCTGGAGACACTGCCTGCCCGCTCTGAAGTCCATCCCCTACATTCAACCTGCCTGGAAGGCTCTCAGCCTTAATTTATGGGCGTGGCCTTTCCTAAACCAGGGAAATGACAGGGGAGATGGGAACAGTCAATACTGCTTGTGATGCATGTGATCGCCTCCAGAGTCCCCTCCTTCACCCTATCTCTATCCTTTCCCTCAGCAGGACCTCAGGGTGACTTACTAGGAGCTGGCCAGCCCCATTCACGCTACTCTGTCTTGGCTGATGAAGCTCATCCAGTTCACAGATCAGGAGCAGATCCAGTGCCCATGATGCCCCCTAGGGCTTTTTGCCCTGCCCTGCCCTGGGGCTAAGACCGTGGCACAACCACCTACCTACTTCTTCACTTAGTATTTCTATCCTGTGATCATTGCCCCCAGCTGGACCCAACCGTGGTAGTGTACTAGAGAGGAAAAAGGACAGCAAACCATGGAGAAATTAGGGAGAAGGGGTAGCTTCACCACCACCACCCCTGAAGAAAGGGGCACCTTAATCTGGACACCCAAGCTTAGAAGTCACAGCTTTCAGTTCATCCCTCTGCTGAGCACTTTCTGAGATCTAGCTCCTATTCATGGCCAAGCTGGTGACCAGGTTGGGTCACCAGGATGGCAAAAACATAGGGGGCCACCCAAGATATTAATCTTTTTAATAGTTACATGGACACAAGGATAAATGAGTGTTGTTCAGGCTGGATTCCAGTGAGTCTTGGCAAGATCAGAATGGAGCAAGGAAGAGTATGGGTGCCAGTCTTCCTTGAACCTACTCTCCAGCCACACCAGCCTCCTCAAGTCTTCCTGATAGAGCTCAGCTATTTGCTGCTCTGCGCCTTTGCTTGCATGGAACGCTCCTCCCCAACACAGGGAGAATTCAGCATATCCCCAGAGCCCCAGGGATTTCCTCACCTCACCCCTCTCCCATTGCTGTATCTCAGATCTTTTTCTGTCCTTGCTGTTTTCCTTGCTCCTGTCTGCACCAGGCCAGAAGCTTCTCCAGGACAGAGGCTGGCTGGTTCCCTTCTAGGTCCCTCAACCTGGTACAGAGATTTGCAAACCATCCCTGGCTCCTGCCCCATCCCCACCCCCACCCCATAGAAATACAAAATGCAGCAGAAGAGGCATCCCACTGGCTGTGATAGCTGTTGTATACTTTCTGACAATCACGTACTTCCTCCCACTCTCACTTTATTGAACTAAGGTTGTAATGATGTAAAGTATCTGGATGGCCAAATCCTGGGGTTACTGTTCTGAGTAACAGTATTAGAAAGTGCAGTCATGCAAAATGTCAATCAGTTTTTTCACTTCAACTCTTCTCTTTTTTGTGTGTGCCAGTCCAGTGGCTTGAACTCAGAGCCTGGGTGTTGTTCCTGAGCTTTTTTTTCTCACAAGCTAGTGCTCTACCACTTAAACCACAGCTCTACTTCTAGCTTTTTGAGGGATAGTAAATTGGAAATAAGTATTTCATGGACTTTCCTTCCTAGGCTGGCTTTGAATCATGACCCTTAGATCTCAGCTTCCTGAGTAGCTAGGATTATAGGTGTAAGCTACTAGTGCCCAGCTCACTTCAACTTGTGTGTGTGTGTGTGTGTGTGTGTGTGTGTGCACATGCACATGTGTGCCAGCCCTTGGGTTTGAATTCAGGGCTTGAGCACTGTTCTTGAATTTTTGTGCTCAAGGCTATTGCTCTACCACTTGAATCATAGCTCTACTTTTGGCCTTTTTGGTGATTAATTGGAGATAAGAATTTCAAAAACTTTTCTGACTGGGCTGGATATGAACCTCAGATCTCATCTTCCTGAGTAGCTAGAATTGCAGGTGTGAATCACCAGCCTGGCTCACTTCAACTTTTTAATATGATTATAGCCTTCTGTCTGTCCCTCCTTTGGAATGCCTCTTCAGGATTCTATCTCAATAGTAGTTGCAGCCTTAGTCTGTGTTCTCCACTCCAGGGAGCTGCAAAGACATCTGCTGGTAGGTCTGGAGCAGGGCAGAGCCAGCTTCTGTTTTTCTTGGGCACATGCGTCATCTGCTGGTGGTGACTGGAATGTTCCCTCTTAATCCACAATGCCTCAGGAAATATTTAAATGCCCACTTTGTGCCACGTTTTGTGTTAGGAAGAAGCTGTGGATACTACTTTGACAGAAACTAACAAAGTATCTGTCCTCATAAGACAATGTGAGTAGTAATAATGTTTTTGCAGAAGGTTCTAAGCACTTTCCTTGTATTAACCCATTTTACCCTGACAATTCTAGGAAAAAGGTATCACTATTCCTACTTTACAGATGAGGGAAATAAGGCATAGAGAGATGAATAACTTGCTCAAGGTTACATTGCCAGTAAACGACCAAAAAGAAGTCATAAAATGCAGGCAAGTCTGTCCTGGCACTATGTTCTTAGACTACAAAGAAATGGCTGGCCATTGGAGGCTCACACTTGTTTCCTAGCTACTCAGAAGGCTAAAACCTGAGGATCATGATTTGAAGCCAGCTAGGCAGGAAAGTTTGTGAGACACTTATCTCTAATTAGTTACTAAAAAGCCAGATGTTTAGTGAAAAAGCTACTGGACAGTGTTGATTCAAGTCCCAGTACCAGCATGTGTGTGCACACGCATGCATGTGTGCATGCGTGTGCACACAAAAACACACACACAAGTGGTGAGAAACCATAATGGATTTATTCCATCTTGGCCAGAATTTGAACTTCCTGTTCAGTTTTCTTGGGTTTGAACTCAGAGCCTCATGCTTGCTTGGCTGACACTCTACCACTTAAACCATACCTCCAACCCCATTTTCTGTAGGTTAGTTGGGGGAGGAGGTGCACATGCCTCTTAAGGCTTGAACTCAAGGCCTGGGCACTGTCCCTGAGCTTTTTTTTACCCAAGACTAATGCTCTACCACTTGAGCCACAGCTCCAGTTTTGGCTCTGTGTGTGTGTGTGTGTGTGTGCCCGTGCGTGCGATTAGAAATAAAGTTTCATAGTTTTTCTGCCTGGGCTGGTGTCAAGCTGCAGTCTTCAAATCTCAGTCTGCTGAGATCATAGGAATTTATTTTGGGGGGTCTAGTGACCTTTTTCTACACAGGTTGTCCTTGAACCTTGATTCTCTAGATCTCAACTTCCCTCCTGATTAGCTAGGATTAGTCATAAATGACCAGCCCTTGGTTCTGTTCAGTTTCTTTGATTTTTCTGCTGTTTATAAAAGCTAAGTGAAGTGATACTCTGAAGCATAATGAAGATAGTGATAGCAGTCAATTCCAAATATCTCTCCCATTTCCACAGTTCTGTCAGGACCTTCCTCTTATGTTGTGATAATCACATCCAAATAATTATTTCTATGTTCTGGATCGGATCGATTGCTTATTTAGTGTCAGATCTAATTGTTTCTTTTTCTCTGCATTGCTAGACCCTGATACTATAAACTACATTTTCCAAAATTTCTTTAAAATTCACTTTTAGATATTAAATTGGATTCTGGAAGTCAAGAGGAGAAGGAAGAATATGTCTTCTACCCTCTCTGGGGTGGGCAGCATCCCCCCAAATGGCTATTAATCAGATTGGTTTTTTTCTGCTGTGACAAAATGCCTGCCATAAACAATTTAAGGGAAGAGAAGGATTCATTTAGTCTCAAAGCTTTCAGGCCATAGGAGGGTGTGGCAGAACAGGCAGCTCACCTCATGGTGGCCCGGAAGAAGAGAAGAATGGGGGGAAAGGGCAGAGGAAGAGAGAGAGGAAGCGGAGAGAGGAAGCGAGTATTTGCCTGTGGTGGCTAGCTTCCTCTCACAACCCTTTTTGTGCCAGTACTTAGGCGTAAACCTAGCATCTGAACACTATCTCAGCTTTTTCACTGAAGGCTCGTACTCTACCACTTAAGCTACAGCTCTACTTCTAGTGTTTTGGCAGGTAATTGGAGATGAATCTCGTGGGTTTTACACTCTGGGCTGGCTTTGAACTGTGATCCTCGGATCACAGCCTCCTACATAGCTGGGATTACAGGTATGATGTCTGGTTTTCCTTCCACCTTTTATTCCATCCAGGCCCCCAGCCCATGGGAGGATGGAGCCCACATTCAGGTTGGGTCTTTCCCCTCCCCTTTAGTTCATTCTCTCTGGAACCACTTCACAGCCACACACTTTATTCTCTTCTGTGCTTCTCAGTCTAATCAAGTTGACAGTGGAGATTAATCACCACGAGCTGTTTTCTGTTTTGGATGCATCAGATGTCCTCTTCCCCTGTGTCCCTGCTAGGCTGCTTCCTTGGCTGAGGCCATACCACCTCCTCTCTTTGTTCCTCCATCCTAGCAGCAGTGATGGTTTTCTGTTGGGCCTGACCTTTGGGTCACCTCTCATCCCATTTTCCCTTTCATCTTCAACATTTTAATAACCAATTTCCCCAATTAAACTGGCATAGGACTGAGCGTGTAACTCAGTAGTGAAGCAAAGCCCTGGTTTCATGAGCAGCACTAAAATCCTGTTATAGATTCTATTTTTCTGGACTGGGAAAGGCACAGCCCAAGTGGGAGGGGAGCAGCTGTAGCTCTAGCTCCCATCTCCTGGATCCAATGCCCATGTCTGCCCAATGCCCTTTAGATGTTGCTGGAAGGCAACATCTCCAGCTTCTGGCCTGCCAGGAAAGCAAGACTTTCATCCAAGTTGCCCACTTTTCAGGAATGTAAAAATAATTTTTTTCATTATTTAATCAATTTTGTAGAAAAGTATTTTATATTCACGCCCTCGTCCTTTCATACAAAAATAGTATACTATCTATTAGAATATCGTGTCTTCCTCATCTTGAGCCCTCTCCTTCCATTAGCCCAGGCAACAGGTAATGCTCAGAAAACCCAAGTGACTTCCAGGAGACTCCAGTAGAACAGGACGTGGACTAGACAGCAGGCAGGCTGGCACTAAGGTGAGTACTGCAGCTGAGGTAGCAGATAGACTATGGGAAGGGGGTATCATCTTGGCAGCAAACCAGCAGTCATGGAATCTAGTGGTTCTGGGAGGTATCAGAAACTTACCAAGGCCCTAAGGCTAGACAGTGGCAGACAGGGAAAAAGTTCTTGCAGTCTTCAGAAGTGGATACAAGGATTATGTTGGAGCTGGGAGCCACAGACAAGGGACAAAATGCTGAATCCTATGGGCATTGGTGGCTCATCCTGTAATTCTAGCTACTCAGGAAGCTGAGATCTGAGGATCATGGTTTGAAGAAAGCCAGGGCAGGAAAGTCTATGATATTCTTATCTCCAAAGCACAAATGAAGCTGTGGCTCAAGTGGTAGAACACTAGACTTGAGCAATAAAGCTCAGGTCCTGAGTTCAAGCCCCAGGACCAGCATCCTTGGAAAAAAAAATCTATTCTGGGTCAGCAGAATGACACTGCTATTAAGGGTTTGTGAGATAAAAATAAAAGCAGAGCCAAGCATGGTGGTGCATGCCTGTAATCTGAACTTGGGAGGCTGAGGCAAGTCAACCTAGACAAAGGCAGCTTAAGACTGGTTCAAAAACAAGATACAAATGAAAGGGCTGGGACTATAGCTCAGTGATACAGTTCTTACCTAACATGTGTAAGACCCTGGGTTCAAACTTCAGTACCAAAACCAAAATCACACAAGCAGTAGCAGCTTCTGTCACAAAAGATCTTTAATGACCTTTTATCAATTCTTTTGTTCATTTGTCCTGTTGGATTTGAATAAACTATAATAACTTATTTGACAGAATAAAGGAATGCCACAGGTAACAGGTTAACCTGGAGGTGATCCAGGAATGAGAGTGTCACAAATAATCACTTCACAGAAGGGTGGCCACAGACCTGGAGAGGCAGAAGCAGGAGACTCACAAGTTCAAGGCCACCCCTCCCCACTAGACCAGGTACATACACACTGGTTCCCACTCCACAGGAAGAAGTGGCCCCCTCAGCATCTCTGATTGGACCTTAGCACTGAGCCGAGATGCCCAGGAAGACAGCATGCATGTCCTGCACTCATTCCCCAGGCTCTGCAGATCAGCCACCGAGGCCAGGACCTCACCCACCTCTCATATGCTGCCACCTCATGACCTCCTTCCCTATGGTCCCGGAAACAGCCCCCGTGGAGTAGCAGAAGCTGATACTAACTCCCCTTTACATATGGAGAAACGGAAGTGAATAGGATTCCCAGGGGTACACTTAGACTGACTGAACATAAAATACCAGTTAGCATTCTTTCTCTAGTGCCAGGCAGATGGCAGTGCCATAAGCTTGACCTTCCCACATAGACAGCCCTGGGGGGAGGGGACTAGGCAAGATTTTGTGCCAACAGCTGGTCCATACAGAGGCCTGGACAGAAGGACGGGCAGAGAGGGAAATCCACAAGCTGCAGGAGGAGGTCCAGCCTCTTTTAGGATGCACAAGCACCTCCTGTTGTCCACAAATAAGGGAGTGGAATCCTTTAGAATTCTCTGGGAAACTACCTCTAGGGCATCCTGCCTTCAGGGGAGGGATTTCAGTTATCAAAGTCCACTTGGCCATATATAAAAAGAAACCTGACTCTACCCCCTCCAATCATCCCAAGAGTTTGGCCTGGAAGTTAGTGTCACCCAGGGGCACAGATGTAAGTCCTGGGTGGAGACCATGCCTGTTTTCTTGCTCCATGAACTGCCAGCCTGCATAAGCCAATATCCAGGGTCAAATCCCCATCCTTACTGAGCACCAGGCCCTGCCCAAATCAATCCAGGTTAGAGATTCAGGGTGGGTCAGCTAGAAAGCCATCAAAGGGTCCATGTGACATGTGCCTCTGTGTGTGTGTGAGCAAATGCTTGGGCCTAGGGAACCCAAGTTCCAATTCTAAGATATTCTGTATTGGAAAGCTGGAGCTGCTCCAATAGGACCTGTGCTTGCTGGTCTGAGCTCAAGCCTCAGAATGATGGTTTGAGGTTTTTTTCTGAAAGCAACGTTTAAAAGTGAACCCTTACTAGGCAAGAGAGAGAAAAGCAGAGTTGTGGTGGTGGTGGGAAGAGGGAGGGGGGCTAGAGATTCAGCCTTTGCCCTCACCTCAGGTAGCAACCACAGACAAAGTTCTGTGGGATTCCAGAGGTTTCACAGTACCTGGTTGGAAAACCACTGAATGTCTGTAGACCATGGTCCCAGGGACCTGTGCTTTATTTCACCTTGGGGTGAGAAAGTGGAAGAGAAAATTGGCAGGATGGGAGGGGGTGCTCCCCTTCCACAAAGCCCCCCTATGAAGGTAGTGGGCAGTGCCCCTGTGCAGAAGAGGGGTAGAGGTGGGGATCTGCCCCCACAGGTAGGCCCCTTCATCCTGGAGGGAGGGCAGGCAAGTGATGGAGCTGTCCCTGGCCAGGAGAATAAAACACCATGCCCAAAGGCAGACTACGAGTGAGGACTGGGGGAGACTCATTTGGTCCTTGAGTTTAAAAAGAAACCTATCAGCCCAGGCCCAGGCTTGTACCCGTGAGACCCTGTGAGTTCAAGATCAGGCCTAGCCCCTTCCTCCTGGATGGGTGGACATCCCCAGGTTCTAGTCACTGGCAGAAGAGAAGCTGCCTCTCTGGGTCACAGAAACCACATTCGAGTATCAGTCAGGCTTGGTTGTCAGGGCATGAGGCCTGGGCTTTCCCTGGGCCAAAGGTCTTCCCAGAGGGTCGCTGGGAAGCTGGGGTAGCTCTGGTTGATTCTGCAGGAGGCCTTCCACTTTGAAGGGAATAAATGGGCAATTTCTACTGCCTCTCATGTTTGGGATTTGATAAAACCATGGTACGAAGGCTCAGCTTCCTGACTTGGGGTCAAGGCCAAGGTTTCTAGACCTGAGAGATGGGAGATGCTCCAGGCCTGGGAGGGTCCAAGAGGTCTCTCTCCCCCGTGTTATGTGTGTCCAGTCCTGGTTGCTGGGATTCCTGTCCTTGGGCAAGGCATTTCTAAATAGTTGGGCACTTTCCTCCCAGCTGGGTCCCCAGGCCCAGAGGCTGCATGTCACTTGACTGACATTGACTTAAATGAGAAGCCAGGTGAGAGATGAAGACTGGTAGGCAGTGAGGGCTCAGTGCCAGGTTGGCTTCCTGTGTGACCTTGGTCCATGCCCTACAGTGGCAGAGTCACACCTGGGCAGTGGTTTACAACTTGTAGACTGTTGGCCTCTGACTCCTCTGGGCTGTACAGCAAGGTCTGAGCCAAGCAGGAAAGCATTTCTGCAGCACTTGTTTGGGAAACAGCTTGAGAAGTTCCTCAAAACCACTCAGCTGGTTGGTATCAGCCAGGACTGAGAGGTAGCACTGGGGACTTGCAGGACAGTATTCCTGTCACTGTACTGAGGGAACCAGCTTGTCAGCCACCTTCCTTGAAACAAAAAAACCACAGGAGTCCACTGTATCCTGTTTGGGCTTTGAGGCTAAGATGACCAAGGGGTCCAGCTAAGTCACTTGATCATTTTTCTAGGGAAGTGACCTCTTCTCTTAGTTAGCTGGCCTTCTGCTTGGTGGCATTTCACCCAGGGCATGTTCTTCATCGCTGACCAGATTGGCATCAACATGCCACCCTCATGACTCATTGGAAAGTCCCAGTGTAGGGCTGCTTGGCTGGCATAGGACCCCAAAGGCTCAGTACAGAAAGTGCCAATATTGTGGGCTGGTGCTTGGGGCCCAGTGGGGCTCCTCCACCCCTATACTTCACAGCAAAGTATTCCCTCTCCAGGCTGACTCCAGAACAAAGAGGGGCCCTGCAAAGAAGCACTCCGTCATAGCTGGGTGGTATCTGTAAGGACACTCTGAGCCCTCTGCTTCAGGAAGCCCAAACTACTTTGTACTGTATGTGCCACAGCACTGTGGCCCACATCTGTGTAGGAGGACAGCTGGCCAAGGGGCAGGTGACACCCAAACCCACCCCAGGTGACTCATAGGGCTGTGCATTCTAGTATGGATCTGAACCTACCTGGAAAGGGCACTGTATGGAACAGCAGCAGCCATGGAGCCCTAAATGCAAATGGCCTCCTGTTACTTCTCCCTAGCTACAAGCTTTCTAAGAACAAGGGGTGAGATGGACCCATCTTTGTGTCTCTGTTGCTGGGCACAGAGCAGAGAAATTGTCAGCAAAGGATGGTTAGGCTAGAATCAAATCAATTTGACCACAGGCCTGTTCAGTCCTGGCTCAGACAACTAGAGAAATTTTAGTTAACTCTTGGATATAACCACAAGATGAGTGGGATGCTGGGGTGGAGAAAGTTCAAGAAGCCAGTCTAGGAAACCCTGTGTATACACTGGAGAAGGGCTTTGCAAGGTAACCCCAAATGCTAAAGAGCTTCCTATCAGCCCCAAAGGTTTCAGAGGAAGACACTGAATAGCACATGATTGCCATGTGCTGTTGGATATCTATTCTGAAGCTGCCCAGGTGAAGTGTAAACTGCACAGAAATCCCTGGCAGGGGTTGGGGCACCTGCAGCTAAGACCCCCAGAACTAGCCAGAGTGTGACTGCCCCTAGCTGGGAAGGGGTCCCTTGGGTTGACTGCTGATGAGATTTCGAAGGAGCAGGGCCAGGCTGGTGACTGGGTCATTTCACCAAGGGAGATGGTCACATGCCCCATCCCTGGGAGGTGCTAAGCTGAGAAGTATTGGGGGACATTTGCCTGGATAAGCCTTAAGAATGTTTTTAGGGAACTGTGAAGTCTTAAGAGAACCTACCATAAGCACCCCCACCAAAGCCTTAGCAAGTACAAGCTCTGGTCCTTGCAATGTCTAGGCTCCAGAGCAGTGGCTTTGGCTCCAGTTTGGCATCGGGTCACCCTCTTGGGCCTGGAGGATAGGCTAGGTAGGTGTAGGCAGGCTCTGCTACCTCTAACACCCAATGAATCCTTTCTGCAGGTGTAGGGAGCAGTGAGCAGCTCTTAATTCTACTTGGTAAACCAGATGCTGAAATGCTCATAGTTTTTCAGGAGCCAGAGTTGACAGTTGGGAATCATCTGGTCAAACTCCTTGGTTTTCCAGTGAGGAATGTGCTCATATCCACACAAGTTAGCATCAAAGACCAGACCAAAAATAAATACCTTGAACACTCTACTTTTATCACTTGCCTGTCCTGTTGCCCTGGGAAATGCTCCAACATCAACACCAACACCAATCAATGGGTACTGGGCACCCATGACACTGGGAACTAGAGGGATCCTCAAATCCCCAAGGAAAGAAGAGTAGCAGCCTTCCTTCTGGGACTCCCTTGTGGGGAAGGATCCCCTTTGATGGTGAGGATGGTGGTATCAGGCACTTTCTCACCCAGCCTGCAGCCAGTCCAGCCTTGGAGAACAAAGAGCTAATGGGGACTCCAGTTGCCGCTGGCCCTCCAGTCTTGCTTCCTGAATGGTCATCTTAACTTCACCAAGGAAGGGAAGTAGGGTGGGCTCTCCTCTTTCTACTCCTGCCCCACCTCTGAACAGTCCCTCAGGAAACCTCCCTCCGAGCTTGAGTTTACTGTGCTGGGGCTGGTGTTTGCAGGTGACAGAGAGGGCAGCTGTTTGCCCTCTCTGTGTGTGTATACAGATGAGCCCACACCCCAAACACAAGAAAGCTAAAATGTCAAGAGCCTGACCATAACCAAAATCTAAGATAGTTCACCCCACTCGCCTCCATCTAGGAATATCTGCTGATAAGAAAGTCCGTTGCTTTTTCTCCATTCCTGGGCTGTATGCATCTTCACCAATGTCACTATCAAGAAACAGGGACAAGGACAATAAAGGCATGGAGAATGTAACCACAGCAGGGCCCCTCCAGCCAGAAAGGGTGGCCTTCAACACTGTCACCTTCTAACTGCCAGAACTGTCACCACCTGGGACCACAACCATCTCCCATGTCCTGAGCCCCATGCCCATCCCTTCATACCCCCAAGCCCACCATCACTGTTTCCCTCGTGTCCCACCCTCTCCTTTTGGCTCCATTTCCAGCCAAATCCTCCAGGCCAGGGCTGTAGTAACCTATCTGGGAGTGAGCATGAAAAGGGGGGTGGACGGGTGACTAGAGAGGGGCAAAGGTGGTATGCTGTGGTCCTGTTGGCATGGTGACATGGGGCCAGTCCTGAGGCCAGAGACTCATCATTGGGACTTAGAAGACCACCTTCTGGGGAAGGAACCCCCCCCCGCCCTCTGTGATGGTGGGTATGAGGCCCCCTGGTAGAAACTGGAAGAACAAAGGGGAGGGGGAAGAAGACGACGAATAAGTATCCGAGTGCAAGAGTGACATGGAGCTGCCCAGAGGAAGGGCAGGCTCCAGTCTATCTGGCGTTGAGGTGTGGAGAGCCGGTCCCATCCTCCTCTTCCTCCTTGTCATCCTTCATGCCTTTCAGTCTCTGGCGGGCAAAGTCCTCAAATACAATGTCGTCATCACTAATGGGAGAGACAAGGAAAATGGGGCATGTTTCCAGGGGTAGGGATTGGCAGGGAGAGGCAGAGGGACCCAGGACAGAAGTACTCTTTCTGGGATCTCTGACCTTTCGGGGTGATCATGGTCAGAAAGGCCTAGCAAGCCTAGACATAGATGCCTACCAATGTCCATGGAGACAATCACATATGGATGTTTGGGGGTTGTGAGAGGCCAGAGTGGGTTACAAGCTGGATTCTCAAGCCACAGGGTTGGAAAAGTGAGTCAATTCTGCATGTCAGCTGGGGGTAGGGGGGAAGGGGAGGGCGGGCAGAGAGCATGGCTCTATGGCCCAAGGAAGAAATTATTCCATCCCCACTGTGAGAGGCCAGGCTGCTGGGATTTCACAGCATATTTTGACTCTCCCAAGAACGGACCCAAGAAACCCTTTTGGGTTTCTGCTGTAGATCACTTGCTACCCCAAGGGACCCTGAATAGGACAGGGGCTGGGGTAAGAAACACAGGTAGCTAGAAGAAAAGGGGTGGCAGGGTGCCTGAGTGGGGTTACAGGAGGAAGAACTGCTTCCCTCCTCCCACAAAACATTTACATTGAGGATCCAGCAGAGCGTACTGAACCCCCTGAAGCCCCAATGGAATTCAGCCAACTACACGGGCATCCTCCTGGGGTGACTTGAAGCCTCTTATTGGAGATTCCCAAGAAACAAGAGAAGGATATTTCTCCCTCCAGCTCCAAAAGCCATGGGGCCCTGGAAGTGATTCCTGTTGTTGGCTGAGGTCCTCTCCCTCTGGCCACTGTTCAGTGCCCCGATGGCCCGCCATCACAGGGGAATCCACATCAGGTCGTCCTCAGGAGTCAGAAGCAAGACCCAGACCCACTCCCACCCACAGCCAGATGGGCCTGGGTGAGGAGGGAGTGCAGAGCCCAGGACCCCAACCAGCCCGGTGCCAGTCCAGCAGGCGCTGTGGATGGACTGACGGACGTGCAAGGACGAGGGAAGACAGACCCCACCAAGGCAGGAGGAAGAGGAACAGGCACCACCGAGGGTCCTTCAAGTCACATGCAGGCAAGCAGGTTGCTGAAGAGGTGAGCAGAGGTGGCTCTCAGCAGGCAGGTTAGACCAGCTGCTCCTCAGGGGTTAATAAGCATATATGCAAATGAACCATCCATCCCGCCCTCAGGCCCGCCCCCCAGGCATCCGCTTACTTGGTGTCAAGTTCTATGAGATTGGTGTCTACAGGTGCCTCGCTCTCTGGAACTGAACACAGGGCAATTGGGGTTTGCAGGGTTAGTGGGGGGGTGGAAGAGGGGGGTAGGAGTGGGTACAAGTGGGACATGTCCTCATCCTGGGATGAGCAGGCTAAGATGGGAAGGGCACAAGAAGGGTGGGAGTCTCTCACAGGTCTTAGAATCTCAGAACCCCTCAAATTGTCTTAAAGGTAGAGTCTGCAGGCAAGAGAGGGCCCAGCATGCCCATTGCAAGCCTGAGGACCAGAAGAACTTCTTACTTCCTGCTCCATGGAAAGATCTCCAACATCCATGTTTCCTGCTTGGTATGCTACTGGCTCATTTCTGAAATCCTAGCTTCTCAGGAGGCTGAGGTCTGAGGATCCTAGTTTGAAGCCAGCCCAGGCAGGAAAGTCTATGAAACTCCTATCTCTCTCCAGTTTACCAAAAAGTCAGAATTGGAGCTGTAACTATAGATGTAGAGCAGTAGCCTTGAACAACAAAAGAAAAAAAAATCTAAGAAATAATGCCTTGAGTTTAAGCCCCGGTTCTGGGAAGGAAAAAAAAAAAATAGAACAAACTTTAGACGACCATATTTTTAGTTTTGGGAATTTGGGGGTTTTGTTTTGCTTTACATTTTAACCTTTCCGAATTTGGAGTGTATTTTACAACTCGTGGCATTTCACAGTCTAATTATATGAGCACTATTAGGGGTCATGATATAATGTCCCTTTTAATGAAATAGTCTTAGGTTCAACTGAGTACAAGCAAGATGTATCCCTTGTAAAACTTGTGGGGTGTGCAGAGCATCCTATCATAAAGCCTCTTTCCCTATATCCAAATAGGGCCCAGCTCATGCTGGATGCTGGGCCAAAGTGCTCTGCTCTCTGCTCTTTCCCAAGGAGAAAGAGCGCCATGGCTCACTGCCTCATAGTGAGGCCAGAAGCAAACAGGAGTTGTGAGCCCCACAAAAGCTCCTGGGACCTAGGCCTAACCCAGAAGGAGTGGGGTGACAAGAGTATCGTATGAGCTGGTAGAGAATTCATTGTAGGAACCCCCCACCTCAATGACCCACAGATCCTGCTCACCTTCCCGATGTGGGGGCTCCTCTTTAGGCTTGGGGTGCATCAAGGTAAAAGGCAGTTCCACAGCCACATCACTGAAACACAGATCCAAACCTGGTGATGAGCCTGGAGCTAAACATCAGGATGAGATCTTCCCACTCTGACTCTCTAGCACCTGAGGTGGTTCCTGCGGAACTGCTCAGGTGACCTTAGAGCCCTGCCAAGATCATCAGGCTCAGGAGGGAACCCAGGGCCCAGTGCTGGGACACCATGTGCACAGTCTGACACCTTGGGGAGGGGAAGGAGGGACTGAAGGAAAGATCTGGCCACTGGCCTGGTGCTGCTGAACAGGCCTTCTCTGTCCTTGTCCTTGACAGACAGACTGATAACAAGAACAGAAGGCTGTAGGTTGCTGACTCTGAGCCAAGGACTGTTCTAAACCCTTCTTTGAAGTAACCCTCATCCTCACAGCAACCTTATTATGCCCAATGTATGAAGTGGGAAACTGAGGTATAAGAAGATTAGTCTGGTGCCTAAGGCTGCACAGTTACTAATGGTAAGTGATGGAAGATTCTGGTTCCTGAATTCACCCCACCCCACCTCCTGTGGCCACCATCATCACAGCAGAATTCAGACTGAGAAAAACAGCCCTGGAGACTCTTCTTGGCTAGAGGTGGCCTCACCTCATCCCATGAGACCCTTCACTCTCAGGCTGTGAGTGCCACATCTTAATGATCTTGTGGTCTGGGTATGGCTGTCAAGGGGCAAGTAACAGCATGGAGTAGCCAGGGACAAGCCAGCCCTGCCACTCTCACAGAGAGCATGGTGCATCTCTGAGAATCACTGAACTCATCTTGAACATTGGCGCTAACACCTAACTTTTAGAACCCACTGGGACTTCTAGGGGATGTAGATACACAAGCTTTCATCTGTCAAAAATAATTATGTCCCCTTAATGGGGACATGGTAAGGGAGAGCTGTCAAAAAGTTGTCAAAGCGATTTGGCTTTTTTTTTTAAAGGTTATTATTCCAAAAGGAGCTGCTTCTTCAGTTTTGCCTGGAAGAGTGAGCCATCTGATGAATGCTGGTAGCATCTGATGAATTCTGGTTATAACCTTTGCCGTGGCTGCATAGGATATGGCCAGAAGATTCTAGACCCAAACCTTTATCAGGCTGGGAGAAATAGAGAGCAGATGTGCTTCTGATTCCTTCTGGGATTCTAGCACAAGCCTGTTTACAAGTTTAGACTCAGACTTTGCCGAGTTACACTGAATTGAATTGATTTCCAATTGGACCCCTGATTGCTTAGGGTACATAATATTGCTGTCTTGTGACAGAAAGCAAACAGCCATCTGTGAGACATCTGCATTTTTGAAATGTATGTCCATTGGGCTGGTTACCAGGGAAATCTTGTCTAGAAAAGCAAAACTTCCTAAGGGGCCACCTTTAGCAACACTCAGCCAGCAGGGATTTCTGGTCAGTGTATTAGTTTGACCACCATAAAACCTGCACTTCCCCTGAACATCTTAGAACTAATGATCAGCCATTCACTGGGCCTTCCTGCAGGCCATTCCCCGGACTACTGCTATATATAAAGGTCCCTGTCACCTGAGTGGAACAGAAGAATAGGGTAGGGTATTTGACGTCAAAGCTCAGTCCCTAGAGTCCACTGGGAAATGCTTTGAGCCCCAGGTAGGCCTATAATCCAAAATGACCACTAGATTCCTTCTAATCCAGTGCTCTGTGGTACTGGTCAGCCAGGCTAATGGTCCCTGGTCCCTCCAGGAAAGTGAGTCAAGCAGGACAAAGGAGGGACTTTACCTGGATGCAAGATCTCCCAACAGGCTAGGTAGGTCAGAGGAGGCAGAAGTGGCCAGGAAGGAGTGCAGAGCGAAAGAAAAGAGAAAGCACATTTATTCACCACCCCTGCTGCTCCAAACACAGCAGACCCGTGACACACTCCCCACCCCTCTGTGGCTCGACCACCCACTCAGGGCAGTGACTTAGCATCAGCCTGCAGGGACTGAGATGCAGGCCCAGCTTAGCAAATCCCTGGGCCCTAGGAAGCCATTGTCAAGATAAAGGGGTTCTTGATCTAATGTTTTGTTTTTTCAAGCATTCCATAGACATGTGTCAACTAAATGAGGAAAAAAAAAACCTTAAAAATTAGAAAGCTTAACTAGTGTACAACATGTAGCCCCGGTAGATGGGGAGACAAGGGGTTTACTGAGACCCCATCCAGCTATGCTCCAGAGCATGGACTACATCTGGTCCTCACTGCACCCCAGCACCTGGCTGAACAGCTGAGGCTGAGGAGGAAGAATGAGGAAGTAACTAGGGAACTGTTTGGGCCTCTGTTTCTCTGTCTATAAAATAAAAATGTCTGCCCGTCTAACAAATCCTAATGCAGCTGTGCGATTCCGAGTCCCTTTAGCTGTTTCCTCAGCCTGTGCAAGAGTGGGGGTGGGCGCTGTGTCCGACCTGTGCTGAGGTGCACAGCAACCCCTGGGCAGACAGCAGAGACTAAAAATGCCATCCACTTTCCCTCTTTGCTCCATCCTCTGCACCAGGTACAGGCCTAGTAAAGAGAAGGAGGAAAGAGGGAGGGAGATGGGGGAGAAGGGGAGACTGAGGACCACTAGGAGAGGAGGGGGAGAAAAGGGAGAGGAAGACATAGGGAGGAGGGAGTGGAAGGGAGGAGAGCAGGAAGTCCTCAGGTCCCATTCCTCCTCCACAGGTGGATTCAGCTCAAAGGTCAAGCAAACAAGCCAGGTGCGGCCTGGCCACATATCTCATCCTCGGTATTTGGGAGGCTGAGAATGAGAGGATTGTGTTTTGAGGCCAACCCCTGACAGAAAAGTTCTCAAGACTCCCTTCTCAACACATTTCTGGGCACAATGGCATCCTGGGCATCCTAGGCTGAGATAGGGAGAATAGTGTGCCAGGTCAGCCATGAGGGAAGCTGGACCATTTCATCTTTATCTGGACAAGATAGTCCCTACTGGACAAGAAGCCTAAAAGTAGGACTGCCACTCAGGTGAGGATCTGGGCGGAAAGTTGAGATCTAAAAGCAACCAGCAAGGGAGGTGGGGGGGGGGGTAGAGGGGAGACAGAAGAGGAGGGATGGGAAAGCGTGGCATATCAGTAATGTACCAGTCTTACAAGCATGAGGCCCTGAGGCCCCGAGTTCAACTTCCCAATACCACTACCAAAAAAAATTTTTTAAGGGTCAGGCAAATAAGTAGGAGCGGGCAGGGACTACAGGGGGCCTCTATACTCGGGGTTCCACTCTAGGGCTGGCTGGAGGACTCACCCTCCTCGAGACACCACCAGCTTCACTTTCACTTTGTAGGAAACGATGATCCCCAGGATCTCACGGTTGGCACCTTCCCTCAGCCTGCAGGGCGACAGGGAGAAGCTGTCCTCCAGGCTCACTGGTGAGCAAGACATGGGCAGTGGGGCGGGAGGATGGCACTCGGGGACGGGGCGGGGGGGGGGGGGAGGCGAGAAAGATAAGCGGAGTCCCAGGGAGCTGGGACTCCGGCTCTGAACTCCACAGCTGCCATGAGGTGTCCTGGCTGTGTGAGCCTGGCCAGACCCCTCCCAGCCTGGCTCTACTCTGCTGCAGATTCACAGCATACGCCCACTGGGCAGAAAGGGCCAGGTTGGAAAGAGAAGAACATTTTTGGTCAGAGTCATGGGGCTTGAACTCCGTGCCTGGACGCTGTCCCTCAGCACTTCAGCTCAAGGCAAGCACTCTACCACTTGAGCCACAGCGCCACTTCTGGTTTTCTGGTGGTTTATGGGAGAGAAGAGTCTCTTGGACTTTCCTGCCTGGCTTGGAACTGCAATCCTCAGATCTCAGCCTCGTGAGTAGCTAGGATTAGAGGCATGAGCCACCAGGCCCGACTGGAAGGATATTTCTGAGGAGGTAGGGCTCCACTGGGTCTGGTGCACAGGGAGGACTTGAACCCAGGTAGGTAGATGCGCACCCTGTGCAGGGGATGATGACAATAGTCTGGCCCAAACCAAGAGTCTGGGTTGGGAACATGGCAGGGGTCTCACAGAGCAGTGCCTAAGGGCCAGAACTTTTGCAGGGAGTGGGGTGGCTCTGAGGGCTCAGTGAGGCTGCCCGGGGATCCCTGACTTGGGAGGGATATTCACATCTGATTTACCACCCCAGTCTCTCCAAGTCATCCTCATGCTAGGCCCCATCCAGGAGCCATGTCCTCTACCTTTGCTCAGCTGCAGGGACACCCCCCCACCAGCTTAGGATACCACATTATGAGCGGCCACCTGACAGGAAGCCTTCCAGCTGCCCCTCCCCTGGACCAGCTGATACTGCCTAAGACAGCCAGGTCTGGTGGTACTGGGTAGGGGGAAATTGGGATACGGCCTCCCTGACTGGCCAATAGCTGGGCGATGAGGACAGCCTGAGCATCACGTCATTTTACTGCTGACTCAAGAGGGCGTGGCCATGGAGGGCACCTAGAGCTCAGGCCTAAGAGGGGGTCCTCACAGGGTGCTGGAGGCCAGGTTTGTGTCTTCGTGCTTCAGCTTGCCATCCAGGGCCAGGCCTCGCTTCTCCCGGTTGTTGGCCAGGAAAGGTGTCAGTGTGTAGACCTTGCAGAATGTTGAGCTGGGCGCCACCGTGTCACTGGGAAAAAGGCAAGTGTAAAGACACTCCTCCCTACAACCCCTGCCCTCCTGCCCTCAGCCCCAACTCAGCCAGGCCATCTACCAGACCTGCTAACCAAGCCAGCCTGTGCTAACCTCTGTCCCCCAGAGGCAGGGACACATGGGCCAGTCCTGGCTCTGGCAGGGAGCCCACTGCTCCCTGTAACAGGTGCATGCACATCCTACACTAACAGGGGAAGCCTGGGCTAGAACACTGAAGGGGTTTTTTTGTTTTTTGGTGTTTTGTTTTGTTTTTCTGGTCCTCAGGCATGGGCACTGTCCCTGAGCCTGTCTGTGCTCAAGACCAGCACTCTACCACTTGAGCCACACCACCACTTCCAGCTTGTTCTGAGAAGCTTATTGGAGATAAGAGTCTCACAGACTTTCCTGCCCGGGCTGGCTTTGAACCATGATCCTTAGATCTCAGCCTCCTGATAGCTAGGATTACTAAGAATGAGCCACTGGCACCCAGCTATGTTTATTTTTTTATGTACATCTACATGCAAATCACAAATGAAGCTACTAGCCAGCTATAAATCAATCCATCTAGGTTCTGTAATTAAAACTATACTTGCAAGCCAGGGGCCAGCGGCTCACACTTGTAATTCTAGCTACTCAGGAGGCTGAGACCTGAGGACCTCAGTTCAAACCAAGCCTAGGCAGGAAAGTCTGTGAGATTCTTATCTCTAATTAAGCAGCTAGAAGCCAGAAGTGGAGTTGTGGCTCAAGTGGTAGACTGCTAGCCTTGAAGTGGTAGACTGCTAGCCTTGATCAAAAAACACTCCAAGTCCTGAGTTCAAGCCCCAGGACTAGGACTAAAAACAAAACAAACAAACAAACAACAACAAAAACACCTGTACTTATAGCCAGGTGCTGGTGGCTCATGCCTGTGATCCTAGCTGACTCAGGAGTCAGACCTGGCGGATTATGGTTTGAGGCTAACACAGGCAGAAAAATTTGCTATACTCCATCTCCAAAACAACCAACAAAAAGCCAGGCTAGAGGTGTGACTACAGTGGTAGACACCAGCCTAACAAGCTCAAGGCTTTGAGTTCAAACCCCAGTAATGTACCTTCCCACCTCCCAAATACACACACACACACACACACACACACACACACACACACACATTACTTGCTTTATCACACATCTGTTCATGTATGGGGATATGTTGATGGTTCAATGTTAACTTGTTTTTCCTCTGTTTCTCCTCTTCCTTTTTAACAAGACAGGAGCAGAAAGCAGACAGTGGGCCAGAGCTGGAATAGTCCAGGCTTTGCTTTGTCTCCCTCTAGCTCTGTGAGATGAACAAGCCACATCTCATCTATACACTGAGGACAGCAGGGCTCTGTGAGCAGGGAGGGAGACTGTGGACATTCAGTATGAGCCGCTCCTCTCCCAGCTGGTCATGCTGCGCATGTGCAGGACTCCAGCTCTACTCACTCTGGGTCTGTTCCTTGCAGCCCTAGGCCATATCATGCATGTCTTGTAGCATTCATATTTATTTTAAAACAACAAATAGATATTACTGTTTGCCAGAACTAGAGTTTGAACTCAAGGCTCTGTACTTGTTCCTCACACCTCCAGCCTGCCTTTTTGCTGGTTACTGTGAGTCTTGCAAATTTTCCCACCTGGGCTGGCTTCGAACCTTGGTCCTCCAGATCTCAGCCTCCTGAGAGTAGTTAGGATTACAGGTGTGAGCCACCAACATCATTAAAAACATTAAAATGTTTCTGAGTCACAAAAAATCATTGAAATTAAGTGTAAATACATATATACACAAAACTACATAAAGTACAATCTCATATATATATATTTTTTTTCAGGGCCAGGAGAGAAGCATGGGTGTGTCTTCTAATCCAATGAGTGTGCATACTCCCTTTCAGTAAATAAAGATGTTTGTTTTCAGATCTCACACCTTAGCTGCCAACAAGCTAGGAATTAAGTTCATTTTTCAATCACAATAACTTTCCCAAACCCAGACTATTTTGGGTTGCTGTATAATTACTCTTTACCCTACCACGTGTAACCCTTTGGATGGGATCCGCCAGCTGGGTGATCCAGTTGATCAGACAAGGAAGACTTGTGCTTAATGCTTTTCCCTTTTTTCCCTGGCTCCTAGGAATCCCAGAGGCTCCAGCTGTTTCTTTCCAACCCAGGTTTCTGCGACAGGATCATTATCCTCTTTCCACAACCCTGATTCCCTTCCACTCATTAGCTATTGTTGACGTGGGTTTAGATCTTTTCCTGGATTCTAGCTCTAAAAGGCTCTTTGATACCATCTTCTCTGAATGGTGAGGAAAGCTACAGCCCTCTGTAGATGGAGAGGAGTCACCTGGGACTATGTCTAATCCCAGAACTTCTTGTTCCCACCCAGTCCCATGCACCCAGGGTCCGGCTTACACGCACTTACTCAGCCTCCTCCAGGGCCACGGGACACTTGTACTGCGCTGTGTTGAAGAGACAGATGTCCGCATACTGGCGCACTGGGGAAGGAGAGGGAAGCCATCATGTGAGCCAGGGGAAGCTCCCAGGAGGATTATTAGGCCAAGGGAGGGATTCTCAGCACCCAGCAATGGCCAAAGTCCACCCGTAGGCACTTATGTAGTAGGATCACCCATATCCTCCACCAAGAGGGTACTGCCAAACCATTCATTCCCTTCCATAACCAAAATGTTCTGTTTCTCCTGGGGAAACTTCCCAGGACCCAGGAAACGTATGAGGAGAGATAGCTGAACAGTAAACCCATTGCTTGTCCACAAGCAGCCTGGAGCACTGGCCATGAAAGCCCCCAAACCTCTTGGCTCACAGCAGACCTTGGGCTTGAGGTTCTTGAGGCCAGTACTCTTTTTTGTCTATACTCTTTTTTGGTTTTCTATTTGGAGAGGTAGAATGAGTGGGACTGGAAATTGAGCTCAGAGCCTCATGCTTGCTAGGGAAGCACTTTAGGACTTAACCCATACCTCCAACTCCTCTTGCTTTAGTTTATGTTTTAGATAAGGTCTCATGCTTTTGCCTAAATTAGGACCAGCATCCTTCTATCTCTGCCTCCTGAGTAGCTGGGATTAAAGGTGTATGCCCTTATACCCAATTTACCACAGAACCTTAAAGAAGCAAGATTTTGGCTATCATAATTCTTTTTTTTTTTTTTTGTCGGTTGTGGGGCTTGAACTCTGGGCCTGGGTGCTGTCCCTCAGCTCTTCAGCTCAAGGCGAGCGCTCTACCACTTGAGCTACAGCGCCACTTCCGGTTTTCTGGTGGTTTATTGGAGATAAGAGTCTCACGGTCTCTCCTGCCCGGGCAGGCTTGGAACCGTGATCCTCAGATCTCAGCCTCCTGAGTAGCTAGGATTACAGGCGTGAGCCACCAGTGCCCGGCTTATCATAATTCTTGTAAGGGTTCCCTCTTGCCCACCCCCCAAGTTGACTCTCTACCCATAGTACCGGAGATCTTGATCTTCTTCACTGTCTTATTGGTGTTGTTGGTGACATGGACATTGACACTGATGGGCTCTCCATGGTAATAGATCTAGAAGGCAGAAGGAGAGTGTGGACAAGGAGGACACCAACATTCAAAGTAAGAGGGAGGAAGAAAGACCCCCCTGGAGGTTTCCCAAACCTTGGTTATTCTAACTTTGGCCCAAGTTCTGCCACTGCCTCCCACTGCAAAGTGGCATTGAAGCCACCAAGCATATTAGCCTTTGTTCTCAGTTAACAGTAACAATGGCAATGCTGGTGGTGATGGCCCTATGACCTTAGGTGGGTTACATAAACTTCAGTTTCTCCCTCTGTTCAATGAGGTTGAGTCTTGAGTCTCTACAGGCTCTAGTGGCCTGAGACTTGGGAGGCTCTGGAAGCAGCAGGTGACGGGGAGGAAGGACTGCCCAGCCCTCTGAGGAAGCCAGCCCTGTGTCCTCACTGAAGAGTCTCGGTGGCATTGTGCACCAGGTACTGGTCTTCAGCTATCCCCAAGAATGAGCGGAGTTCACTCCCAAGAGGGGCCGCTCACAGCTGGCATCAGTCCGCCAGCTCAGCATTCCCTGCCTTCTGCAGGCTCTGGCGCCCTATTGCTCAGGGATAAGTAGGGTATGACAGGGCATGCCAGGCCCAGCTGTACCCACACCTCCTGGCTGGTCATTATCAATAAAAGCTGACTCAAAGCAGGCAGTTGGTACAAGGGGAGAAAGACAAGTACGTCTGGAAAGTCCAAAGCCACCTGCACACTTTAGGCTTCTGCCTGGCCTTGAGGGGCTTTCTTTTTTGTCAGTCATGAGGCCTGAACTCTGGGCTTGGGCACTGTCCCTGAGCTCTTCAGCTCAAGGCTAGCACTTTACCACTTGAGCCACAGCACCACTTCCAGCTTTTTCTGCTTATGTGGTGCTGAGGAATCGAACCCAGGGCCTCATGCATGCAAGGCAAGAACTCTACCACTGAGCCACCCAACCAGCCCCTTGAGAGGCTTTCTTAAGCCTCTGAGAGAGGTCTTGATTATCTGAGTCCTGTGGTCCCAGGGCTAGGGACAGAGCTCTGTCCTGAGAAGTCCCCAGATGCCAAGAGAGAATGGGATCTATGACTGAGGCCTGGGAACGCAGCCTCCCCCTCTCCCTCCAGCCAAGGCCCAGACTCCTACCTCCTTATCCAAAGACGCTTCTAGATGCAATGGCTTGTCTGACATGAGGAACTGCCTGGTGGTCTCTGCTGTAGGTTGAGGGCCAGGCCTCTCAGGAGCATACTGAACTTTCCGGATAACCAGACGCACAGAATTCCTAAGGATTGGGCAGGGTGAAAGATGGCCAGAGTCACTCGCTTGCATTCTCTTTCTCTGTGATCCCCATGTCCCTCTCCTGATCAAGAGGCTGACATAGCTTCCATTACCATCAAATCTAGCCAAGTGCAGAGCCTTGCCTAGGAGCCATGTCACCATCTGGCAACTCTACTCTCTCCTGTTCCATCTAAGCCATCCCATGCCGGTATTTCACTGGGTCTGTGGCTTGGTATCCAGCAATGGCAAGAAAGGGAACTGTTAGCTAGGCACTGGTGGCTCATACCTGTAATCCCAACTACACACAGTTCGAAGCTAGCCTGGGCAGGAAAGTCTGTGAGACTCTTATTTCCAATAAACTACTCAGAAAAAGCCAGAAGTGGCACTGTGGCGCAAGTGGTAGAGCACTAGCCTTAAGCTAAAGAAGCTTAAGGACAGTGCCCAGGCCCTGAGTTCAAGCCCTAGGACTGGCACAAAACAAAAACAAAAACAAAACAGGAAACGGTTTACACTCTCTAGGCCTTCCTACGAGGGTCATGCTCCTAGCTCCTCTCCTCTCACCTACTCTCTGACCTTGAGTAAATTAACCTTGTGGCTCAGTTTCCTCGTCTGTACAGTGGTACACTTTCCTCTTAGGACCACTGTGAGGATGAAATTGGCCCATACCTTCCCAACATTCTGGCACCTACTGAGCTCTTGAGAAATCATGGCTACTCCATCACTATTACCAGTGAGTCTTTGTGATCTCATGATGTCTCATTTTGGGTGGGCTGAGGACAGTGGGTCTGAAAGTTACCTCCTCTCCCTTGCTCTGGTCCTGCTCCCTCCCGCATCTATACATCTCATCCTTCCTCCCTGGTTTCAGGCCTTAAAGGCAGCTCCCACAGGGGAGTTGTCCAGGCTGCTGTTGATAATGCCTGCAATGCATGCTATAGCCACCAGGTGGCAAACTCAGCCCACTCCTCTGAATTGGTGGTTGAACCCTCCTTGGCCTCCTCTAGGAATTGGGGTCCGAAGCAGGGACACTGAGATTGGGAACCACCACTAGCAGACAGGAGGTGGGGCGGGGCCTGGCCCAGGAAAGGCAGCCATGAGAAGTCAGTGCCAGATACTTTCCCCCAGCCAGCCTGGGCTCTGTCAGTGCACTATGAGAGTACCGACCCCAGCTAGCTGGAAACAAGTCTGATTCTCTCACACTCTTCCCTCAGTGGGTTCACTTTCTCCACTCCCCTTCTCTTGCTCAGAGGCCTCTATGACACACTGGTCCTGCCTGTGGTTTCCTAGGAGACCAACAGGGTAATGAGGATGGCCTGGAGACATCCTGCTGAACACTCAACACAATCTGAATCTAAAATAAAAAGACCTGCAGTCTGGAGGGGAGGGGAGCAGGGGCAGAGAGGTAAGGAAGGAAGCTGTGAGGCTGAGGCTACCTCTCCAGATGCTCTTCAGGACCTACCAGCCTGTCAGAATGCCCTCTCAGAGTGCCAGGGCTGGAGCACGCAGCTACTCCTCACCCACCTCACCCACCTCTCCTAGGACTTTCCCTCCTGTCTTTCACTCCTGCACACCTTTTGTGGATCTTCTCCTCCAGGTTCTCCGCACAGAAGGCTTTTACTTCATAGTCCACACCGCAGGCCTGTGGAGGATGCACTGCTGACCACAGGACCTTGGAAAGGCAAGGTCCCCCAGCACACAGCTGGCTGGCCTAGCATCTCACAAACAAGAGCTCTGGATGGGACACCAAGTCCTGACCTGGCCCCGAACCCCTGTGCCCAGCCACAGTGTAATACTCCCTCTGCCTCACTTTCCTTCTCCCACCAAGCTGCTCCCAAGGCTGTGCACCTGGAGCCATAGAAATTGCCACCAGCAGCAGGGCTGGGCAGCCTGGATGTAGACCCTGTACTGGGGTGCTTCAGTCACCACCCCCACCCCAAAAGAACAAAAGGATTTTAGAGGCCTGGAGCCTGCCCTACTAGTAGTGTCACACTTTACTGAGCCTCAGTTTCCCTCCGTACTGGGAGCTATGGGAGGCCAGGTGCAGGTCCTCAGCCAGAGTGACTCCTGTCACAGAGTGGGAATCAGGCAGGTCCCAACCTGACAGGCACCTTACCTGAAGAGATTGCTTGTCCCCATGTGACCATCCAGGCTAGGCCCAGGAAGCTTGAGCAGGGATAGTGGGCTGGGTAGATAGCCCCTCTCCTAGGGAAAAAGCCCAGAACCTGGGGACTTGACACAGCCCTTTTGCAGTGACCTACCTTCCCGGTGTCCTCAGGGCCTGGCTGCAAGGTCACTGAGCATGGGAGGTTCGGTGGGATCTGTGCGGAAAACAGAATGAGCTGCCATCACACCACCACTGTGCCCCCCTCCATGCCTACACCCACTACTCATCTCACACTCATATCAGCACCCCTGAGAATGGCTGTGTTTCCTCCATCAGATTAGGGGGTCTTAGAATAGACCACCTTCCCCATTGGACTGTGCCACACCATGCCCCAAGATTTCATTGTTGTTGTTTTTTTTAGTCTCAAGGGTTTACTCAATCCCTGGCCTCACAGCAATGGTGGAAAAGATCTTTCATGATGTCTACTGAGGTAAAGTATCTATGGCTCCCTAAAGGTGTCTATGTCCCAGTCCCCTAAACCTTACCTTACAGGAAAGGACTTAGCAGTTGTGTTAAGGATCTGGAGATGGGAAGGATAGCCTGAACTATCCTGGTGGGTCCAGTGCAATGACAGGGTCATTGAAAGATAAAGCAGGCTGGGTGCCAATTCGCACACCTGTAATCCTAGCTGCTCATGAGGCTGAGACCTGAAAACTGAAGTTCAAAGCCAGCCTGGTCAGGAAGTCTATGAGACTCTTATCTCCAATTAACTACCAAGAAGCCAGAAGTGGGGCTGTGGCTCAAGTGGTAGAGTGCTAGCCTTGAGCAAAAAAAAACAAAAACAAAAAACCTCAAGAGACAATATCCTGACCCTGAGTTTAAGCCCCAGGATGGGCATAAAAATTAATTAAGGAGGAAGTAGAACACTAGGCATGGGAAGGTGAAGTCAAAGGACCACAAGCCAACCTGGGCTGTATAGTGAAACCCTGAGAAATGAGAAGAAGGGAGGGAAAGAGGGAAGGAGGGAGGGAGGGAAGGAGAGAAGAAAGGTGGAAGGAAGGGAGGGAGGGGAAAAAGGATGGGAAGGATGGAAGGACAGAGAAAGGGAGGAAGCAAGGAAGAAGGAGAGGAGAAGAATCTGTGCCAAGAGAAGATATATGGGAAAGACTCAACATACCACTGCTGACTTTCAGTATGGAGGAGGTGGCCATGAGCTAAGGAAGGTATGCGGGCCCCCAAGGAATGGGAAGCTAGACAAGACAAGGAAATGGATTCTCCTCCAAAGGCTGAGCCCTCCCAACAACTTGCTTTTAGCCCCAGGAGACCCATTTTGGCCCTGTGACCCCGCCCCCCAGAATGATAGGTTAAGCGATCAACTTGGGTTGTTTTGATTGGCATATTTATCACACATGTGTGGTCATTTGTCACGGCAGCCAGAGAACTCACACATCTGCATGGGAATGAGGAGTCTGCTCCCCACTCTCCTCTCTGCTCACAGGGAAGCGGGGAGGAGGGAGATGACCTGAATCCCAGAGAGTTTGAATCTGAGAATCTGGAAACTGAAAGGCAATGATAAAACTACTGTGCCATCCCTCCTTGGCAGCCATGTTGGAGCTGGACAAGTAGGCAGCCAATCTGAGACAAGATGTCGTGACCCAGGGACCAGACCTGGCTTGTCCTTCTCCACAACCACCTGTGGGCCCCCTTCCCTCCCACCAGTGAACTGGAGGCAGAAAGGTTGAACAATAATAGCACATAGGCCAGGGTGGTGTCCCCAGTAGTAGCCAGAGAACAGAGAGTATGACAGTGCCCAATACACACTAAGGAGTTGCTGGGTAACACAGAATAGCCATTCCCTGCTCATGTGCCCACCGTGAGCATTTCCCAGAGGTGACCCGGCCGGGCCCCTGACCTCAAAGGTGAAGGGGTAGGCATGGTCGCCCAGCTTCTTGATGAGGCGCTCCTGCAGCCGTGTCAGGGGCTTCTTGTCCTCGGGAGCCGGCGGGAAGGACTGCACGTTGGCCACGAACAGGTCCTTGCGAAAAGTCAGGCCCAGGACATCAAGGTCCTCCCGGCCATAGCGGAAGGCGCAGGTCAGCGTCACGTACACTGTGGGGAGCAGAGGTATTGAAGCGGGGCCTGGGAGGACAGCACCCCTCTTCTTCCCCAAGCACTAGCCATATTTCTGGAGGCACCAGGCCTGTCCTCTCTCCTGTAGCGAGAGTGTGCCATCTCCCTGAGGGAGCTGAGACATGGTGCCGGGGCAAGGGAGCCATGCTGTGGCCCCTGGGAGGTCAGGGTTGCTCGCTGGGCAGTTCTGTCCTCCTCTATCCACTCTAGTCTAGGCATATGGAGAGGCCCAGGGAAGGATTTGGCCAAGCCTGGGAGCCTTGGCCCAGCCCCCTCCTCTGTAAAATAAGACCCTAACTCCTGCCCTGCTGGCACCTGAGCCTTGATGGTCATGCTATACTGTTGAGAAAGTGCTGGAGGTGGAGGGGTGGGGTTGACCAGTTCTCCTAAAGTGGGGATAGGTGGGAGGCTCCACATAAAGGTTTCACAGTGGGGATGGGCAAGACAAGGTTATAAGATAAGCCAAGGTCCTGCCTGGGAGGCAGGGAGGCCCTGGAGAGGAGGCCCAATAGGCAGAGTATGGGCCTCGCCTGCTGCTGAGGATGGGGACCATAGCCTACCTCTCCTCTCTTTGAGGTACTCAGGATCCACCAGGACCACACCATCTAGGGGAAATAGAAGAGTGAGGAGATCCCCAAACTTAACCTTCCAAAGCTAAGCCCCAATACCCAGCCACAGCCAAGCCCAAACACCTGCCCAGCCAACAGCATCATAAGAAATGGGAACGCCAGCACCCAGAAGTGATATACCCAACCTCCCAGTCTGATGTGCACCAAGCCCCGCACTCTGTCCCCTGCAGGCCAGCAGCAGACTCAACATTGACTTGGACCTGTTTCTTCATCTTCTAGGGGTCTGAAACCCGTTATCCTTTGGAACTCAAATGATTTGAATCATAGAGAGGCAAACTGGCAATATGTCCCTATGAACATAGCCCTCTGCAGACCATACACCGCTGTCTCAAACCCACCGCTGCCCTGTGGGGAAGCACAATTATGTGCCAAGTATGTTTTGAAGACCCACAGAGTGCATACAGTCCAATATATGTCCAGGGCCAGGCGCACTCGTGCGTAACTGCAATCCCAGCCCTTGGGAGGCTGAGGTAGGAGGATCCCAAGTTCCAGGCCTAGTCTGGGCTACATCGTGAGTTTCAGGCTAGTGTGGATTACATATGGACACCTAATTTCAAAAAAAAAAAAAAACAACAAAATAGATTGCAATAAAACATATTGCCTAATGACATCACTGGTTGTCTCAGTTTGCTGCAACCATACTATGATCACATTCACACCACAAAAACACTGATGATGCGCGTCTCAGAACAGATCCCTGTGGTGAAGTGACACACTTCTGGCCAAGAAGCTGAGACTCAACCCAGCTCCATATATGGGTTTAGGTCAGATTCACCAATAAACAAACTCCACCTCAAACTTAGAAACAGAATTAGGTTTTCTGAGACTGAATTTGGAATATGACCTACATGGGACAGGTGGGCACATACATAAAGTGTGTCCCACATGCTCAGGGCTAGCCCAGCGGCTGGTATGCATCAGCATGATGGAGAGGGCCTTGGTGCCCCTTACCAGGACTGCCCTGGAAGTAGAGCTCAGAACTGGGCAAAGATATCCTCTGCTCAACACCCCAGGAGGTCAGGAATACCAGCTCAGGGGCCACGCTCTTACCTGGTATCCCCAGCTCATCTCTGCCCAAATACTCCATCTCTCTCTCCCTAGGGGGACCCAAGCTAACCATCCTAGGCAGATTCAGGGTCAGGGAGTCATGGGTGTGCCCAACCCTATCCAGGAGCCTGCTCACATATCTGATGGACATCTCCTTCTGGAGGCCAGTAGAAGAAAGCTAGGTCTGATGGAATATGTTCACACCAGCCAGGCTAGGGGACCAGGACTGATGGGGTGGCCAAGAACAGGAACCTGAGCTAGAAGGTAGTGTCATGGTAGACAGACTACATCTCACTGTGTGTCATATGATCAACCCTGGTAGTACCCCACAGCCTTCTGGGTGGCTGGGCTGAGCAGGCCACCTGGCATAAAGCAGGTGCCCTAGGGAAACTGGTCCCCTGCTGCCCTCCCTCTGCCCCAGCCTCTGCTATTGTTCTGAGTAGTAAGATGACTGTGTTCAGCCCTGGCATCAGACCTCTCTGGAAACTTCAGCTCAAAGCTGATCACAGGCAAAATACCAGATTATGGGCTCACTTCCTCTGAGGAAGTAAATTTTCCTCAGAAATTGGCAGAGGTGAGGGGGAGGGGTGGCGGGGACACTGAACTTCTGAAAGTCACCAAATACCCAGATAGGGCTGGAGAGAAAAAGCAGGATTCTCCTGCACAGATCACAAAGAGAGAGGCCTAGAGCGACGCCAGCCTTCCTCCCTGCAGCTTCCTGGCTCTGTGCACGGGCCACAGGGTCCCTCAAGTCTCTACCCTGGTGCTGTCTCCTCAGCTCTGAAACAACATGCTTGTCCCTACACACAGCCGCCAGAGACGGGGTGGGAGAGACCACCTTCTCTGGAACCAAGATGACATTCCAATGTCTTCATCTGAACTTGGCTGTAGGCAGTTTCCAGCTGCCATCCCCCAACCTGCCACTTCCTTTCAGTTAGTTTATTCATGTCTTTGGCCTCACTGTGCCCACTTGTAAAATGGGGGCTTTCAGAGCCATAGGAAGACAGTGGGCTCCTTGTCTTCCAGAAAGAGGGGTGGTGCTGAATCAGAAGAGATTCTCCACCAAGGGATCATTTGGCAATCTGTTATCACTGGGGTAAGGGCACTGCAGGCATCTAATGGGTGGAGACTAAGGATGCTATCCACATCCTACACCCAAGGACAGACCCCACCAACAAAGAACCCTCCAAACACATACCAGCAGTGAACACAACCCAACTTCTAGCAGTACCTCACAAGCCCCTCCATTCCCACCCCTTGGCATCAGAAGGTGGCAGAGGAAAGGACTTGAATTAAGCCCCTCTGCCTCCTCACTGTGTGACCTACAGTGAGTTATGGAGCCTGTCTGTTGCTTACTCTCCTATTGGAAAATAAATTCAAGGATAATCATCTTGGCTGTCTCACCCACTAGTAAGCCTTTTTAAGTTTCTTTTGGTGCTGCGATTTGAACTCAGTACTTGCTAGGCAGGTGCTCTACCACTTGAACCATGCTTCAGCTTTTTATTTAGTTTGCCATACTGGGATTGAATTCAGGGCCTCTATCATTTGAGACACACAGATACACACTCTAGTACGTTGGCTAGCAGTTTTATAGATAGAGTGTAGCACTTTGGCCTGGGCCAGCCTTATACCAGGAGCCTCTTACTTCCACATCCTGATTACAGCTGAGATTACAGGTGAGCACCACCATGGCTGACTCATAGTATCACCATCATCACATCCTCTCTATTCCTCATCTCAGTCATGTTTTGGAGGGGTCAGGTTCCATGAGGAAGAAGCTACTTGGAAGACAGTTTCTGTGAGGCAGGAGGCCATGCTGGCCTGTGCTCCAGGCCCTCGAGAGAGCAGTACTCTTCCCTGAGGCCTGAGTCAGTCCCTTCAGCCCCACCCCGGCCCTCCAGCACTCACCCACAGGGTCCACCAGGTCGATGTGGTCCACAAAGTCCCGCTTTCCCAGATAGACTGTAAGCTAGGGAGGAAGAGGCACAGGGGATGTTAGCAGCTTTAGGCCAGGGGGTACTAGCTGTGCTTCAGAGGAAAATCCACCACCCAGAGCTGCCTCTAAAAGCTCTGGACCCACCCACGGTCCTTGCTAGAACTACACACAAGGCTTGGATCTCCATCCCAACACTAACATTGACAAGAGCAAGGCTCAGCAGGAGGGCTGGGTTCCTCAGGGAGGGCTCCACAGGACACTGGCACACAGGTGCAGGTCCTGGCTCCAAGCGCTTCAGTGATTCCTCCCTAAACAATGGCAGGGAGCCACTCATGTGAGGATTTGCTTTATGGAGCACTGAGCAATTGAAGAGCTACTTCCTTCCTTTGGAGCCAGACTGCAGGCATTCCAGATGCACCTGGAACATCACCCTAGATTCCCAAGTATTCCTCCCCACTCCCTCAGTCCTGACAATTCTAGCTCTGCTGTATTTCTCAAACCCCTCCCTCTCTGTTCCCACAGCCCCCCTTTGCCTGGAGGTCCACATCAGCCCCTTGATGCTCACTGCTGACAGTGGAAAACTCCCTTCTGATCTGTTCTCAGCCACACTGCTTGTCCTAAAATACAAATCTACCACATTCCAGTTTGAAAACCCTTTAAGAGTTCCTCATCTGTGCCTGGAGAATAAGGATGATAAATGAATTTTACTCTGAGCAGAAAGTGAGATTGATTAGTCAGGTCTGTTTCAGGCCCTGGATTGAAAAGGAATCTCAGCAGGAAAGGGTGAAAGGTGATTAGTGATGTCTGCTGTGGGCACAAAAGGGAAAATGTAGAAGCACAGCTGGTTCTAAGCACATAATCAGGCGATGTGAACTCCTCTACCTGGGGACAGGACTGTTGTGACCCAGCCTTGCGGCTGCTCTAGTCCTTACTCCCTTACTCTGTTCCCTCTTGGCACTTAGGCTCCAATGCCTGAGATGTCTCCAGCCCCCTCCAATTTTCCATTCCTGCCTAGAAGGCTCTTTTCATCTTACCTTGCCTAGAAATGAATCCCTCCTAGAAGAAGCCAGGCCTGATCCTACCTGATCAGGCATGCCTGAACCCACCTGGGTTCTGATGTTCTTAGGTTCCTGTATCTCACACTTGGTCCTTTACATAGAAGTGACTGATCTATGGCCAGTCCTGGCTATCTGGCTGTGTATATATACTGACTCATCTCAGTATACCCAGTCCCCTCCGGGCCACCCCAGACCTGGCACAGAATGATTCCACTAATATCTATTTGCTGAACTGGCAGCAAACAGGATGGAGCCTAAGGCCTGTGGAGAGAAGGAAAGGGCATGGGCTCTGGCAGCCACTCTGGATAATGAGGTGACGCCAGGGCCTCTCACGCAGGAAGATTATTTCCTCTGATCGGCTTGAACTCTCTTTCTCACAGGCACACTGACGTCTCTTGCCAACAGGCCATCAATCTCTAGCCAGAGATGAGACTCCCTGAAGTCTGGACAGAAAGTTTCCAGAGGGAGTCCCCTGAACCCTGGTTTGGACGGAAGCTCCTGAGAACAGAGCTGTGTTACATTCTGACGGGAAATAACAGCTGCTCCTCCCCCAGAGAGCTGTACCTTTCCCCAGAGACACCCTCACTATTGCCTCTATTGGCCCACAAGAGGGCTGAGTGTGGATCAGGGAGTTGATGTGCCCGACCTCCCACACTCACCTTTCCATTGGGGCTTGCTTTCTTGAACACACTGTGGAGAGAAAGAGAGACAAGGCCAGGGTTAGTGCATTTCTGCCCGGGGAGGCTGCTACAGGCTACCCAGAGGCCAAATCACAGACAGAGGGGCCTGGAAAGTGGTACAGAGCAGAATGGGGCCCAGCTTACCTGCCTCTTACTTTACTCACTGATAACTCTGCACGGCCGCCATCCTCACTATGAACCCTCCCAGGATACACACAGCCCCCAGCAGCCCGCTTCGCACACAGTGTCACCAAGTCTCACTTGAGGAAAAACCTCAAGGGCCCTCGAGGTCTCTGTGATATGGTCTTGCCTTCTCCTGGCATCTCCTCTGCAATGCCTGTGACTCTTAGTCATTTCTCTCCAGCCTTGCTGCTGTTTATCAATCCAAGAGGGAGATTGATCTCTGCCTCAGAGCCTTTCCCCAGCAACCCCAGCCCTCATGGCTCATTGGGATTCTTCCAAATAGATGCTTTCCCCATTACTTTATATGATGCTTCAGCCACACCCACCTGGCCCCAGCCCTAACCTCCCACAGGCTTTGCTTGTTGTGTGCATTTTGTGCCAGTACTGGGGCTTGAACTCAGGGACTTGTACTCTGACATGGCTTTTTCATTCAAGGCTGGCACTCTACCACTTGAGCCACACCTCCACTTTGAGCTTTCTGCTGATTAATTGGAGATCAGAGTATCACAGAATTTCCTGCCTAGGCTGACTTTAAACCACATCTTCCTAGCTCAGCTGCCCAAGTAGGCAGGGCTCCAGGCGTGAGCCACCAACCTCCAGCATGCTTTGCTTGTTTACCTCAGGCCTGGCCAGTCCCCACTCTGCTAGCATGCCTGCGTCACCAGAACTAGATGAGGTGTCTTTGTCCCCAACCATCATAATTGCAGTAGATGCCTTAGGAATGGCAGGTGGCAGACATTCAATAATTATTAGGTGAACAAATTGATGAATTAATGAAGGAGTCAACTGAAAAGGGCACATGCCTGTGTACAGCAGAGCACCTGCCTTCTACAGTTCCTCCTACCCTGTCCCAAGCTGTATCTGCTCCCTATTCACCATCATCCAACCCAGACTTTCTCAGAATAATTGTTGGGAGGGAGAGAAGAAAAGTGAAAGGGATCTAACTGGTAAGGTGAGGTGCTGAAAGAGGGAGGGAGGGAAAGGGAAGAAGAAAGAAGGGAAGAGACACAGGTGTAAAAATAAAAGACGGAACAAGAGGCAGAATTAAGAGGAGGAACTCACAGCAGAGAAAGATGGAACCAACACAAAAAGAGGGAGAAGCCCACAGGAAGGTGACAGGATGTGCGCCCCCCCCAATCCTTCACCAGGAGCAGGAGGTCTATAAACACCCAGGTAGGACTAAGCCACCTCCCCTCCAACAAGGCCAGTGGGGTGGTGGCACTGCACATGCCTCCATTGCCCTGGCTCTGCTTCCCATCTCCACTTTGGGGGCCCCCAGGGACCACAGATGGGTCTAAGCCTTGCTTGCAAAGATGAGCTTGGCACAGCCCTTTCCCTCCTCCCTAGGGGCCCCCTGGTTCTTCTCCTCATCAATATTCATCAGTGTTGGGAGTGTGAAGATGCCACAGTTGGCTGGGGTGTGATAATTGCTAAAGTGAGAAAAAACACAGATCACACCGGTAGCGGAACCAGCAGCTCATTTAAGCAGGGCCCAGGTCTGTGGAGGAGACCCAAAAAGTGGTGCCAGGGACCCTGAAACGTCCCAGCTCTGATCTACCTCCAGCCCATGGGAACTCAGGGTCTGAGGGAAACAGAGGCCCCAGATGCCTGAAAGCCCAAAGAACTGAGTCAGGGAAAGCTACTCCAGTGGCTACTGGGAGGGACACAGGTGCCCAGGGGCACCTGTGCTGGGCTAGAAAGAAGACTATTGAAGAAGGGAGAGGGGCAGGGAGGAAGAAGAGCATTTGAGTTGGTTAATTGTTTCTCCTAACACCACTACAGAACGGATATTTTATTAAGTGGAGGCTTAGAGAGATGCAGTAATTTGCCCTGGAACTCACAGACTGCCAGAGGCTAGGTCAGGATCCAGACCTAGTTCTATCTATCTGCCTCCAGAGGCTGGGCACTTTTTATCTAACCCTGCTGTTTTCCTAAAGCAGGTGTTTTCAATCAACATCAAATGTAACAGCAAAGAGGGGAAATGAGGACAGGAGAGAGGAAGGCAAGAGGAAGGAATCAAAGAGTAAGGAGGGGCGCAGTGAGGGTGTTTGAGGGGCAGGAAAGGGGGTGGGGAGATGTCCCGATGTCCTGCTTTTAACTTAATCAACACCGGGGCAATCACCTTCAGGAAACAGGGACTCTGGGGGCTTCCTCAAACAACAACAGCTGCTGCATTGGCCAGGCAGGTCTTAAGTATTTTTCCCAGAACACTGCTGGTCTTGACAACAACCCCATTTCAGAGATGCGGAAATTGAGGCTCAGAGAGGCGACCTGTGGTCCTTCCCCAGCCATCCCGTCCACTCCATCATACCACTAAGTCTTTCCTGAAACTCCATCAGTTTCCCATTCCCAACAAAATCAGAAAAAGAGGTCTCTGTGGAGGGTTCCTAAGTCTCCCCAGACCCCAAATGTGCACTATCACATACACGGCTTTGCCCAAGCTTGTGGTTAAAAAAGCAATTTGTAGGTATGGGACATGGGTTGGGTTCAGCCTCTAGCCCTGTCTATATCCCACAAACTGGGTTTCCAAAAGGGACATGCAGCCTTTATTCTGGCTGATTAAGGCTTCCTGGAGACAAGGAACAGAAAGCAAGGGAAGTTAGCTCAATAGAAGAAGGTGGGGTACTAGAAGGCAAAAGATCTCACGGGAAGGATGCGCAGGCAGGACGAGCAGAGGCTGAAGGCAGGAACGGGGAAGCCATTGGAACCTCAGGCTGTAGCTCCCTCTCTCCACCTCTCCTTCTGGGGCTGCATGTTCTCCCAGCTGCTCGGCTGTCTGTGCGGCTGCTCCATTGTCTCTGAGGACTACTCTCTGTCTGCTTACTCAGAGCTTTTCTGCTCCTCCATCCTTTTGGCTTGCATGTGACTCACTCTCCAACCTTGTTTCTACTCTGCCTCTTGCTCAGCTTCCCGCTGCTAACTGGCTGAATGGCCCAATTCCAAATTCCCTTGGGAGGAATCTGATTGGTCCGTTTAGGTCACGTGCCCCACCCCTGGTCCAATCAACTATGGCCAGGGTGTATCCTGTGTTCCATGAGGCTGGGACAGAACAGGGCCTATGGTATAGTTCTTTTTGAAAGCTAAGGTCACAACCCCGTAGATTGATAATGAAATCAACTTGGTTTGGTTTTTAATGGAATGGAATAGAGTGGAATGGAAAATGCAAGCCATGCACTTCAGGTAGCCAGAGTATAATAGATATGACTATATCCATCAGTGTTCAGTTTCCCTAGATGTATGGGACTATCAAACTCCTGCAGACCTGTAAAGTTAGACTTGCTCACATGTCACTGTGGGACAGGCCCTTTTTTATTTTGGTAGGTCATGGGGCCTGAACTCTGGGCCTGGGCGCTGTCCCTTAGCTTTTCAGCTCAAAGCTAGCACTCTACCACTTGAGCCTCAGTGCCACTTCCAGCTTTTTCTGCTTATGTAGTGCTGAGGAAGCAAACCTAAGGCCTCATCATGCAAGGCAAGCGCTCTACCACTGAGCCACCTTCCCAGCCCAGACAGGCACATTTTTAAGTGCTGGTACTTGGTTCCCCATGCCCGTGTGTGTGTGTGTGTGTGTGTGTGTGTGTGTGTGTGTTTGCGCACGTGCATATACAAACTGATACTAGCACTGTCCATCAGTTAGCTTTTTTGCTCAAGGCTGGCACTCAACCCATTTGAGCTAACAGCTCCACTTCTGGCTTTTAAGTAGTAATCGGAGATAAGAACTTCATGGGCTTTCCTGACTAGGCTGGCTTCAAACTGATCCTCAGATCTCAGCCTCCTGAGTAGCTAGGATTACAGGTGTGAGCCACTGGTGCCCAGCTTATGTTTTTCTGTGACTACTAAAGGAAATTATTACAAACTTTTAAATATAAAGCAACATAAATTGTCTGTGGTTCAGAAGTTAATAAATGGGCCTCACTGGGGTAAAACTGAGACATCAACAGGTTTCTGTGCCTTTCTGCAAAGCCTAATGGTATATCCCTTTCCTTTCCCTTTCCAGCTTCTAGAGGCAGCCCAGTCCCTTGTCTGGTGGCCTCCATTCTTTTTCTACCTTCACATTGTAGCATTGTGACCACCTCTCCCTCTCTTTCACTTGTAAAGATCCTTGAGATTACACTAGGCCCTTCTGAATTCTCCAAAAAATCATCCTATTTTTAAAACCAGCTGATTAGCAAGCTTAATTCCATCAGCAACCACCATCACCCTTAGCCACACACCATATTCCTGGGCTCTAAGAATTAGGAAGTGAGTCTCTTTGAGTGAAGTATTCTTTTGCCTAGCACACTCTCTTGTCACTGTCACTAGCAATGATCGGGATGGAGAAGTCACCACTAAACCTAATCCCAAAGCTTTCCTGTGGCATGCTAAATGTATAGCATAAGGGAGAGAGCCTCAGAGCCACTAGACTTCTGAGGTGGTTGGCAACTAAGAGAGCAGACCAGCTCTCTTAGCTGATGCAAAAAGTGAGTAATGTTTAGTGCAACTTTTATTTCAGATGAATGGGGGGAGGCAGTAGTGACATATAGTGAACTTTGCTACCCAGGATTGCCTCAACCTCAGATCCTCCAAATCTCAGCCTTCTAAGTTACTAGAATTAATTACAGGTATGATCCACAGGTGCCCAGTTACAATAAAGAGAATCCTGATGGACACACAGAAGTGCAGAAGAGTGACAATACGATGGGTAGAGGATTAGAGAGAGCAACCGAGGCCAGTGACTGCTTGGGAGGTGGTGAGCCACAGGGTGTGAGCTGGTGTGGGTCCCTGGTGCCTCCCTAGGAAGGAGGCAAGACATTGGAGAGTTGTCATCCCCAGATTGTAGAAGGACCTCTATGTCTAGCCTTGAGCTAACACAGAAGAAAAAGGAATCCTTGAAGGGTCCCAGATGTCAGACTAAGGAATTTGGACCATACCCAGAAGAGAGCCCTGGGCATTTGGAGGAGGGGATAATTGGCCAGAACTGTAGGTATTCCATTTTGTTGTTCTTGTTTTTTGTTGGTACTGGAACTTGAACTTAGGGTCTGTGCATTCTCTGTTTGCTTTTTCACTCAAGACTGGTGCTCTACCACTTGAACCACACCTCAACTTCCAGCTTCTTGCTGCATCACTGGAGATAAGAAGCTCATGGACTTTCCTGCCCAGGCTGGCTTCTAACCTTGAGCCTCAGATCTCAGCCTCGTGAGTAGCTAGGATTGCAGGAATGAGCCACCAATCTCCAGCTAGAACTAGTGTATTCTGGACACAGATGTTCTCAGCTCTCTAAAACTCCCCTTACCCATAACCCTGCAGCAGTCCTGGTTCTACTGGGTGGGTGGGGAGCACACAAGGGGCCATTCGCTCTCAGACACAGCCGGCCTACATTCTGACCCACTTTGCTGGGTGTGAGAAGCGCCTTCAGGGAGCAGGGAGGCGAGAAGAGCAGGTGGCAGTGGTGCAAAGAGGCTCTGAGGGCCCTTCACACCCTCTCCCTGGCAGCAAAGTTATTTGTGTATGGCTTATCTGCTTTGCCGGGTGGCCCAGCCCCAGGGGCAGAGCATCGCTGCCCACCTGTGTGCTCTCACCCTGCCTGTCTCTCAGCCCATCTCACAGATCTCCTGGCTCCCCAGGACCACCTGCTTCAGTTCCCAGATGGAGGAACAAAGCCTGGGAGACAGGGAGGGGGGGAGGCAGTGTTTCATTCAAAGGCTCAGACATTCGCCTGAGAAGCAGTCTGGGAGGGGTACCCTGCCCTCTGCTGATCCCATCTTCTGTTATCTGCCTGCTTACAATCCCACCATGGCTCCCTCAGGCCTGGCTTGGATGGGGTCTGGCAGGGGTGGGTCTGGCCAAATCAGGCTCCTGGGCTCTGGACACCTCCCACCCCTGCCACATCCCATAGGCTTCTAAGCAGACAGCCCACATTCACTTTTTGTTTTCCTAGCCATGATCCATATTTGTGAAGATCTTCAGAAGGTTCAGAGCGAGGAAAGGGAAACCAGCCACCAGGCAGCATGGACAGAGGGGAGAGTTTCTTAAAGAAGCATGGCCCACTTTCTGCGAACCTGTGAAACTAGACATATGCAAATTACATGCTAAGAAAAACTTCACTAAGCAGGCTGGCAGCTGGATACCAGAGGGCCATAGACAGCCCTAGAGGCCTATCCAGCCTTTCTGAGGATCAAGTGGCTGGAAGGGAAAGCTGAAAGAGCCCAGAAAATACAAGGAGACCCCACCAGGGCCCTGAGTGTCCTTGGGCTAGTTCCCATTCTCTCTGAGGCTCACTCTCTTTTGTCTAGAGAATAGATGCCATCTGTCCCATTGAAGGGGGATAATATAAATTCTTGGTACCTCATGAAACCCTGGATTCAATCTCCAGTACCACAAAAAAAAAATTGGGATGTGTGGTGGCACACTGTAATTCCAGCTTCACAGGGGGCAGGCAGGAGGATCTCAAATTTGAGGCCAAGCTCAGAGAAAGTTAGTGAGACCTATTTCAACAAACACAAGGGGGGAGGGAAACAAAGGAGAAGGCAACAATGCTTGATAAGAAATGTACTCATGGCTGGGAAGGTGGCTCAGTGGTAGAGCGCTTGCCTTGCATGCATGAGGCCCTGGGTTCAATTCCTCAGCACCATATAAGCAAAAAGAAAAAAGCCAGAAGTGGCCTTGTGGCTCAAGTGGTAGAGTGCTAGCCTTGAGCTGAAGAACTGAGAGACAGCGCCCAGGCCCAGAGTTCAGGCCCCACAACTGGACCCCCCCCCAAAAGAAAAAAAAAGAAATGTACTCATTACCTTGCTCATGTAATTGTAACCCCTCTGTATAGTATTTTCACAATAAAAAACTTATTTTTAAAAAAAAAAAGGGTGAGGAAGTGGCTTAAATAGTAGAGCGCTTGCCTTGCATGTGCAAAACCCTGAGTTCTGCACTGCAAAATATATTTATTATAGCTAAAGATAGATAAACAGATAGAAGATAGCTAGATAGCTTGGTACCTACTAGGGAAGCAATAAAAAGGAGCTAGCACTGCCCACCCCGTACTCAGGAGAGAAGGCCTGGGAATGGGAACCAAAGATAATGTGACAGAAGTGGCACTGTGGCTCAAAGTGGTAGAGTGCTAGCCTTGAGTGAACAAAGCTCAGGGACAGCGCCCAGGCCCTGAGTTCAAGCCCCACAGATGACAAAAAAAAAAAATGTCTGGAACAACCCTCCACATTCCAGAAATGTCCAGTCATGCCCTGCCCTTCTTTCTCCCCGCATTACTGTCCTCTCCATCATTTCTCCCAACTGTGAGTCCCCCAGTCACCTCCCCTCTCTCTCACCCCTTTCAACTTAAACCCAAAGCACTCCCCCCACCCTACTCCTCTAGCCTCCAGTGAGGCTTTGCTTCTCCCTCCCATCCATTCACCTTTCTGATCTCTCTCCTTCTTTCCTTCCATTAGTCTTCAAAACTCTGGACACTATTCTACCTGTAGGAGTTGCAAGCCTCCGTCCCCTGTGTGTGTCTCCATTTGGAACATTCTGAATAGGGGTGGAGAGATATACAGGCCCCACAAATAAACCAGTCTTCCTTGCAAGCATAGTGAGAGGGTGGGCAGAGGCCTCGTGGTGAACGCACCGGGCTCCAACCATGCCAGTCACCAGCACATATTAGCCTTCCCTCCCAGAGTCCCCTCCATGTGCACCTAGACCTGCACACACTCTCCCAAGTGGATTCCACAGTCCAGATGACAAACTGCCTCCTCCTTCTGTGCTTATTTTCCTTGATGCTTAGTATGAATGAATGAAGCAATGAGCTGGGTGAGAGTGGCTCATACCTGTCATCCTAGCTACCCAGGAGGCTGAAAGCTGAAGATCACAGTTCAAAGCCAGCCCAGGCAGAATAATGTGTGGGACTCTTATCCCCAAATAACCACAAAAAGGCAGAAATGGT